TGAAGCCCTTCTCCACCCCCTGTAGGCCATACTTGGCCACCTCGTCCAGCCGGGCCTTGTGCACCACCTCACGCAGACCCAGCAGCCGATGCTGCCCGCCATCCTGCCCCGCATCGGTGGCGAAGCACTGCAGGGGCCGCTTGGACACCTTGGCGCGCTTCGCTCCCGGCTCCTCCTCATCCTCATCCCCCTGCTGCTGCTGCTGCTGCTGCTCATGCCTCGTCCCGCCCACCACCTCCCTGTTGCTGCTGGCCTTGTACACCGCCGAATGGATGAAGTGCTCCGCCGCCGCCCACACACGCCGGGCCATGTCGCTGTGCCGCACACCGATGGCCTCCTCTGTGATGGCCTCCTTGGCGGTATCCATGTCGAAGAGGTATGACGCGATGCGCCATGGGAGGGGGGAGAGGGGCAGCAGGTGGGCGAGGAGCGCGGCAAATGTGCGGTGGGGGCGGAGGGCCGCGCTGACGGCCGTCATGACGTCGTCCCGCAGCTCATTCAGCACCGTCGCGTACTCGGCCAGCACCAGCTGTCGGCTGCCGCGGTCCTCCTCTGTGGCCGTGGGGATGCGATTGATGTCGGCACCCGCCCGCAGCAGCGAACGGATGATCAACTTGTACTTGTCACACTCCGCCCGGCGCTCCTCCTTGGTCTGATCGGGCGTGTCCGGGTCCTGCTGTTGGCTGAGCCAATACAGCTCCTGGGCAGCGAGGGCGAGGGGTGTCCGATTCAAGGCGTCCTGGGTGTCGATCTGGTCAGCGGGCAGCTTGCGGCAGAGGTACTTGGCGACATAGGGAGAGCCGCATGCCACCGCCATGTCCAGCGGCGTCTGCCCACGGTCGTCGGCTGCCGTCATGTCGGCGCCGTTCGCGGTGATCAGGTTCAGGTAGCTGTCGATGAAGGGCTGGGGATAGTGCCCCCGTGCGAAGATGGCTGCCACGTGCACCAGATTCAGGCCCTGTCCGTCGCAGTTGTTGCTTGTGTCTTGGTCTCCTTCGGTGGCGAGGGTGGGGTCTCGGTCGATGAGGCGCTCATACATCGACATGAGCAGCTGCAGATACGCGGGAGGAGGGTCGCGCAGCGTACGGGGCAGCTTCATCACCATTGCTCCGCGCAGGTCGATGTCGTCCCGCTCCATCAGCAGGTAGGATGCCGCCTCATTGCCACATCGGATGGCCACACAGATGGGCCTGGCGTCCTCGTCGTCATGATCATTGCCCTTGGCGTTGATATCGGCGCCTCCGCTGATGAGTGCGGTCATGATGCCCTCCTGCAGCCCAGCAGACGACCACTGCGGCAGGACGACACGACGCTCAGCAAACCCCTCATCATCATCCTCATCATCACCAGGCACATGCGCCTCGATGGGCAGGATGCAGCTGTCGGACTTGTCCTGGATGGCGAGACTCAGCAGCGGGTAGGCATTGCCAGACGTCTCGCAGCCCTTCTCCCGCAGCTTCGGCGCGACACTCGGATCGGCGCCCTGTTCGGTGAGGTCGGCCGCTTGCTGTTGGCTTGTGATGGTGCGGCCGATGATGCGCCGGGTCAGCTCCTTGGTTTCGTCGGTGGTGTCGTAAGGAAATCGGGCCTCGATGTCAGTAGGGCCCAGACAGCCCTCAGGTACAGCAGCGGGGGTGCCCGCCACGACCTCAACACTGACCCCTGCCGCACACAGCCACCACACCACACGACGGGCAGAGTGAATGTGAGCGGGCATTGCGACCTCTTTCGTGTGAGTCTGTCTGTCTGTCTGTCTGTCTGCTGGCGTACCGTCCTCCTCATAGCCGTCGTCGGATATGTCGCTGTCTGAGTCACTGTCGGCCTCAGCCACGTCGTCGTCATCACCATCCCCACCCTCCTGCATACCATCCTGACACCACAAAGGGCAAAGGAAAGGAATACGTGACGGACATCGCACCGACTCGTGTTGGTGTTCATGAGTGCCTCACCGATTCGCTATCTTCCCCCTCGTCAGCCATCCCGCCGTCGCGCTCCTCCTCCTCCTCCTGCTGCTGCTGCTGCTGCTGCTCGTCTAAACGCACAGACACACATCGACACGTGTGCGACACAGACACAGACATGGTCACGGTGCTGGTGGTGTGTTGATTGGTTTGTGTGGCATGCTCTCACTCACCGCAGTCGATGCCATTGCGATTGTTTTCCTCTAATGGTCCGCCGCCGCCGCCTCCGCGCCCCTCGTCGTCTACGTCGCCTGCAAACACAAGGAAACGAACATACACACACACACAGACACAGAGTGCAGTGAGAGGCGATGCTGCATGTGTGTGTCTGTGTCATCTGCATTTGTTTGGAATGTACCTCCATCGCTATCGCCGTCGGCATCGTCACAGCCAGACATGGCTCAAACGCACAGCAACAGCTGCATTCACCTCACAGACAGAGAGAGAAGGGACGGGCATGCTGCTGGTGCAGGTGCTGCATTGTGTGTGTTTGCCCACCCGCTATGAGCCGATAGATGGCTTCAAGTTGGCTGTACAGCAAACTCTCAATCACCCCACCCCGTCGGCAAGGCATAGGGGCGATGGGTCGAAAGGGAGATGGACAGCTGGAGGATGGCGCCAAGAAAAGGTTAGGGCTCGAACCCTGTCGTTCCCGAAACCCTGGCGTCAAAGACTGTGGCGTGGAAGAGCTGATCAAATGGGGTTCAAGAAGGGCCACGGAGGACACTGGTCAGACAAGAACAAGAACGTGATGTGATCCGATTGTGATGTGTCATAGCTCGTGGGATTCTCTGTTGTATGCGCTGATCCATCCGTCAGGGATGCCCGGCGACGGAATGAGGCCAAGAGGAAGGCCTCAGAGGATATATGGCGTCCCTCAGGGAAAGCAGCGGCGCCCAAGAAGAGGACGCGCAGACAACAGGCGCACTCAGGTCGGTCAGAATCATCCGCCAGCACCGACTACTGTACGACCAACCACAACGGGTGTGCATTCATTGGGCTTGGTTCGTTGGTGCGCTCTTCTCACAGAGCCGGCGGCCAGCGTGGCTGAGTCAGACCAGGTCAAAGTCGAGCCTCAGTCGAGTGCGGCTGCGGGCGAGTCGAGCGGGCAGGGCCAGGCGCAGCGTTTGGGTGAGGTAGAGCGAGAGTTGGTGTGTTCGTACCGGCCTGATGAGCCCGAGAGTTTGGACATGCGGGCGGTGGACTTGTACTTGAAGCACGGCCTGGGGTCTGACCAGGTGCCCGCCCCCGACCAGCTCATCTACCCCTATCGCAACTTCATCTTGGCCGACGGTAGGTACACCACACACACACACACACACACACACGCACACTCGACTGGCATAGATGTGTGTGTGTGTGTGTGTGTGTGATGATCATTGTTCTGTTCAGAGCAGTCTGGTGTGAGTGTGTGTGTGGAGGCGTCGGATGAGATGCGTGGCGTGACGGTGGCCGATGTGGCCTTGTCCCTCGTAGCCCAGAAATTACCGTGAGTGAGAAGGAGAGAGTCCCACAGACAGACACGCACATACGCTGCAAGCAACAGAGAGAGCGGAAACGATACTGCACCCACTCGCCGGCCTTGCCTGCGTCTTTCGATCGTCGTCACAGGTGTCTGGCGGGCGCGTGGCGCCAGAATCGGGGCCGTTACTCCATCACCGACAAGTCGAATAGATGAGAAAACATCACTGTGAGCGCACGCAAGCATGATCACACGCATCACAGCTCTTGACCTGTACATCAACACGGTGACCACAGCTCTTGTGTTACCTTGATGTGCGGGTGTGTGGTGAGTGTTTGCAGTGCAGACCTCTCAACGGTCCCCCTTGTCGATAGCTAGCTGGTCAGTCATGTTGATGTGCTTGTGCGCTCCGTGTGTGTGTGACAATGATGCTGTATGCTGCTGCTAATGCGTGGTTGCATTTCGCTCCGTGATCATGTGCGTGCAGTGTAATCAATCGGTGGCTGGCTGTCCATGTATGGCGCTCAATGCATTCAAGACGCTATGCTCCGCACGCATACGACATGTTTATATATACAGACACATGAATGTCCATGTGTGTGTGTGTGTGATTGTCCAATTAGTCAATGCATTCGTCACAACCAATCACACGACAAGGCCCAAATCGCTGCGCCCTTGTCCATCGAGGAATGCACGGCACTCAGCAGAGCGGAACGCATCATAGAGCAGCCGCTCATACCGCCCGTTTGCCTCTTCGGGCAAGGGCGCGCCTGTGCCATCGACAAAGAAGGTGCTGCGAAGCTCTGCACATCAATCATAGGCACAGCCATACACACACGCAAGACAGACACGGGCAGTACAGTGTCTGGAGTGATCTGATTTCATCTGATCTGGTTTGATCTGATTGTGAATTACTTACTTGGTTTGTCGTAGCACAGCTGTGCAATCAGACCATCGAAGTGTGACAGCTCTTTGGACGACGCACTCAGGGCCACTTCAGCGACTGAACACGCCGCGCCCATACAGACAGAGAACGGACGAGTGGCTGGTGCGGTGTGCGACACGGCGTGTTAAAACTGACCTTGGAATCCCTTTCGCAGAGCCTCCTCCGTGATGACCTGTCCGCACACGGAGCCAAACACGAGTGCGCTAGTGTGACATACACTTGGCTGGCTGGGCGATATGTCCATTACCTCTCTCTCACCTCACCTCTTGTGTGGCGTGGAGCAGTGCCTGCGGCGATGAGAATGTGTCTGGGAAGGCCGTGCTGATGCCTGAATGGAGCAGGGACATGACAATGCCTGAATGAAATGAACCAGGATGGGATGAGTGAGTGTTATCCGACCGACCAGTGAGGAAGTCCGAGTGCGTCCGGTTAGCACGGTACCTTCCTTGCCACACACACACACACAGACACACACACAGACACACACAGACACACACACAGATAGACAAAGAGGAGCAGACAGACCGATATCGTGTCATCACGGTGTCGTGGCTCACGCATTCACTTACTGCGGCTGGCGCTGCGGCAGTGTCAGATAGCGGCCCATGCGGCCATCTGACGTCACACACGCACACAACACACCGAATCCGCGATCAAGCAGGTGAGCGACGCTGTGGTGTGCCGTGGTGCGCACCGTCCACTTTCCAGAGGAAGGACGTGTGGTGCACAAACCGATCCTTCGTGAAGCTCTGACAATACAGAAAGATATCCGCAAGAGATGGGGGGGATGGGGGGGCACCAACTGACACACACATAGTAGTTCTTCACCTGTGCGTTGCCGGCCACCTTGCGCATCGACCCGTCGGCCATGCGCACCACATAGTCGTTCTCGGCCACGCCAAAGCCAGACGGCGCGCCAAAGACACCCTCATACAGCCGCCTGGCCACAGACACGCAAGGCAAGCACAGCGCAGGTAAGCTCGTATCGGTGTGTCCGTCCGTGTCTGTGTTCTGACCCGGTCCATCGCATGACGGGTCGTGGGAAGGGCTCCACGCCAGTGAAGGACTTGGGCAGGATCATGCTGCACAGCAGCACGTTCTCGTCAACCAACACAGTGCCGCCGCCCTGTAGACACACACACACAGACACACAACGCATGACACACCCACACACGCGGCGTTCTGAGGGGGTGTCACTCTCTGTCCTTGACCCACGCTATATCGCCGGACCAGAGGGATGCCTGCATCAACAAAATGCACAGATGCGCGCAAGTGAACCACTGCCTTTGGTCTTCGCCTCGCATACCATACCATCCTCCGTCGCATTGTCGACATGTACGAGCTGCTGCGGCTTGCCCGATATTCCCAGCACCACAGTCGGCTTGGCGGCCCATCCCGCCCCCCAGTTGAGCAGCACCCACGCCGCTTGTGGTGGTGTGGTGCGGTACAGGGCCTCCTCCAGCAACAGCTGCTGGAAAATGGGCAGCGAAGGAAGCCGCAAGAACGTCAGCACAGACGCAGACGACGTCATTCATCAGATTGGCAGATCACCATGTTCTTTGCGTAGATGAGGGCTTTGCTGAGGGTGCAGAGCCTCGGATCTGCGCGAAGTCCCTCCGCCATCTGCGAGCCGAAGTGCGGCTCGAGCTCGCTGAGCGCGAAGGGCAGGGAAGTGTGGAGGACGTGGCCGGGCACGTGAGTCGTCGTGAGATCCCCGGTGGTTTCGCAAATGACAGCGCGAGAGGCGGCAGCATCGATGGCGGACGGGCCGACGCCAGGGGATACGACGCCGACGCTGGTTGTTATTGAGAAGGTCCTCAACTGGACCACATTTGCCCGGTTCGGCGGCTCATTCTTCGCCGGGATCTGCGAGGTCAGCACGGAAAACCAGGACAGCGAAAAGCACAGAGGATACTCAATGACATGCTCATGTGTGTGTGTGTGTGTGTGTGATTGGGCCTTCTTGCAGATGGTGACGTTCTATCCCTTGGACACCGTTGGCAAGCGGTTGATGTTCGACAGCACCAAACGGGCGTTTCGAATCGACGAGAAAATGCGGCAGATGCGAGAGGCCATCTTCCTCCACGGCAGGGCAGCGGTGCAGTGGAGCGAGCCAGTCAGCGTCATTCGCTCTTTCTATGCCGGGTTCCTATGGGCGGGAGTGTACAAGGTCTCACAACGGACCTGGCAATTCGGGTGAGGCAATTGCCAGACCGATATTACGGACAGATGGACATCGTGCCGTGCTCACTGTGTGTCTGCCTGGTGATTGCTGCAGTTCTCAGCCGATATTCCGCGAGCTGATTGACCATTCGTGGCCTGATGTGTTCCATGCGAGGTTCGGCCACAGGCTGGGCGACGTGTTGCTGTCGGCGACCGCAGGGGCGCTGATGGGCGTTGGCGAGATCATCTTCGTCCCATTCAACATGCTCAAGATCAAAAGTCAGATGTACAACCAAGACGGGTGGGACAACACCCAATACAAACAATACAAAGGACGCCTTGGCTTGCTTGGCATCAATCAGTGTCATATGCGGATTCTGATGTCATGTCATGTCAGGCCAGTGCTGTCGTTGCTGTCGAGCGGGAGGATCCGCATGCCTGACCTGTGGACAGGATGGACATGGACCATGGCGCGGAATGTCCCCGGCAGCTTCGCCCTCTTCGGAGGGCAGGAGGTCGCCCGACACTGGCTCTTCAAACAGCACGATACCTCCGTCGTGCAGGTAGTCCACACCACACCACACCACACCACACCACACGGCACATGAACACGCGGGCGGATAGGGTGAACAAACCGTCATGTGGTCGTCTGTCTGTTTTCTCAGCACTTTGCGGCCTCCATGTTTGGGGCCACGTGTAGCATCCTTGTCGCCTCGCCTTTCGACGTCATCAAGGTCAGTCAGTCAGCAGGGTGCAAACATCACGTCACCCCCATCGTTAGTGTGTCCATAATGGAATCGACTGTGTGTGTGCTTGTGTGTCGGGTCGGCAGACCAGGGTCCAGGGGGAGCACTTCGGTCAATCCAAGAGCGGCTTCGTCGTGGCAAGGTGAGCACACATCCCAGACACACGCGGATGGCCGGCCGCCCACTCTCCTGTCTGACCGTGTGTGCGCTGTCAGGGAATTGGTCCGCAATGAAGGCTTCCTGGCGTTGCTGAAAGGCGTCACGCCAAAAATGCTGGTGATTGGTCCCAAGCTGGCCTACGGGATGGGCCTTGCGCAGCTGCTGTCGGCGAAGCTGCTGGGGAGGGAGGGCAACAGATGACTGACCCGCGGGTGGCTGTGATGTGTTGTAGGGGTGAGACAGGCGCTGGGTTGGCCAACAGTTTTGCTGGTTTGTGAGGTGAGTGTGTATAGCATGGATGGCACTGTAGACCTAGACGTGTGCACTAGACCGACGCTGGTGTGTGTGTGTGTGTTGCGAACAATGCGCACATTCGTGTTTCATTTGTAGACAAAAGAAAGACATCGAGGAAAGGAAGCATTGCATATAAGACCCCCTGGTGTCTCTCCCCTGCGTGTCTGCATCCGTCAACTCAACTCACGATCATGTTGCCTTCATTTGACAGACAGACTGACCAATCAGCTCAGCGCGTGGCCTCTTACCAGCGCCTTTGAACAAATAAACGCGTGACAAACTCCCTACTTGTGACGAGCAATCAGCCATCCCATCCCCTCCCCTCCTCTCTCTGTACACACGACACCCCTGTACACCCGCCCGCCAACTCGCGTACTGACTCAGTACGTGAAGGCATGTGTCTGTCTGTCAGTCTGTCTGTTTATTTGGCTGTGTTGTCCCTCGAGAATCTGCGTTCCTCCCTGCGGACGAAGAGGGCGTCCTTGGAGATCAGCTCCTGCTTGCCGTACTGTGGCGGCTGCACGTCCATGTTCTTGGGGGCAATGTATTCATTCTTGTATGCCGTCTGGTACATCGAAGGATCGAACTTGCCGTAATTGAGCCAGTTGCCCGACTGATACATATCGGCCTGGTAGCGCCCGCCGCGGTATTCTTTCTGCGTCTTGCCCAACTCGCTGTGAAGAGGGAAACCAAGAAAGAACCGATGAAACGGCCCGCCCCCAAATGTCGGTGTGTTGTCTTGGCTCACTTGCTGCTTGTCTCGTAGCTGCCCCTCGGCCCGGCGACGAATCCTTGTGCCGGCATGGTGAGGGGGCGGTCCTTGTCCAGCTGCTCCTGGTACTCTCTCTCAAGGCGGGCCCTGAACACGTCGGCGCACACAGCGACAGACACAGAGCCCCGAGCTCACAGGTGGGAAGGGGAAAGGCGCTTGTCTTTCTTGCTTACTCATGCCAGTTGCCCACGAGCACCTTCGGGTTATAGGATCTCGACATACTCCTGAGCACACACCCCGCAGACAGCGACAGTAGCCTCTCCAGAGGACGAAGAGATGAAGAGGGGCCCGACTCGCTTGTTGTCTCGCGTACCTTTCAGAGTTCCGAAGTGAGGGCCTCAACAAAAGTGGAACGTTTCCAGAAAGGGGAATACAACGCGCTTCGGTGAACGACGAGAAGACAAAGACGACCACGAGCTCGCATTTGAGCGCCCACGGTGTGGCTTCCGTCTCATGGGCTGTGACTGGTCGAGGTTGAGGGTCATCGCATGGAATCCCCCATCGAAGATCGCACCTCGTCCAGAAACAGCCTGTGACTCCGACAAGACTAACGGGGAGAGAACTAAGCCAACGCAAGAACCCCAATCTCCAGCCATGGACCAGCACACGGAGGACAACGACGATGCGCTGCTCCTCCCTCCCAGTGAGGCCCCCAGGGAGCGCAGGTCCCAGACAGGACCGCAGAAAGGCTCCCAGACGGAGAGGCCGGCCGAGTGTGAGAGCCCGCCGAGGGCTAAGGAATCGCGAAGACCCCTGTCTGCGAAGAGGAGCGGCGGGACGGCGGGCCACAAGGGCTCCCAGAACGACTTGAAAGTGTCCACGAGCATGTTTGTTGGGGAGCGGTCGGGGAAGTTCACAGATTTCTACAGACTGGGGAAGAAACTGGGTAGACAAGACATCAAAAGACGCACAGGAGATTTGGGTGTTCTGCTATCGGTGTTGCTGGTTGCAGGTGAGGGTGCGTATGGTTCTGTATGGACGGCCATGCAGATCAGCACGAGACGGCATGTGGCTGTCAAGATGATCGTCAAGAGCAAGCTGGAGGAGATGGAGGTCGAGGCGGGCGAGAAGTCCACCATGCTCAAGGAGATCGACATCCTCAAGCAGCTCGACCACCCCAACATCATGAAGGTCTACGAGATATTCGAAGACCCCGAAAACTACTTCCTCGTCTCAGAGCTGTACACGGGAGGTGAGGTGCGATTGTTCATTCGCATTGGGAGCATGAGAGTAGCATCTGTGTATGTGTTTGTGGGTGCCGCACAGGTGATTTGTTTGAGAAGTTGGAGGATTGTGAGTACTTGAGTGAGCTGGAGACGGGCAAGATCATGTTTCAGCTGCTTTCTGCTCTCAACTACTGCCACAAACACCACATCATGCACAGAGACATCAAACCTGGTCAGCAGACAAGAAGGAGACACGCATCTTGTTTCTCTGTCACATGTCAATCGTTCTTTCTGGGTGGGCAGAAAACATTTTGCTTGCTTCTAATGCGCCCGATGCGCCCATCAAGGTGATCGATTTCGGTACCGCACGCACCTACTCCCCAAACAAGAAAACCACCATGGCCATCGGGACGCCATGCTACCTGGTCAGCCACAGACAGAGACACATGTACACACACACCACATCGGAAGTGGGCCATCTGGCATGCATCTCTCTCGTGTATGTCCATGTGTGTGCGCCCCCCAGGCCCCCGAGGTGCTCACAGGTCATTATGACGAGCGGTGTGACGTGTGGTCGGCTGGCGTCATCATGTACACGCTGCTCGCGGGTACACCGCACGTACGGGCTGGCCTGCTGCCTCCCGCTCTTCTCTGACGGCCGCGTGTCTCCTCCCACCACAGGTTGTCCCCCTTTCCAGGGCGACGACGATTTTTCCATCCTCAAAAAAGTGGCAGTTGGCAAGGTAAGGTCAGCGAGATAGAGAGAGACACGGAACTGGCAGCTGACGACAGATGGCGAAATCGATGTGTTGTTTGTTTGTTTGTCATTCATGTACATCAGTTTGACATGAAGGGTCCGCGATGGAAGGAGATCTCTGATGACGCCAAGGACCTCATCGTCAAGCTGTTGCAGAAGAAACCCGACAAGAGACTCACTGCAAAAGAGGTGACGACAGAGAATCTGCTTTGCCATACCTACCTGCCTTGGCTTACTTTAGGTATGTGTGTGGGTTGTGCGCACAAACACAGGCGTTGGACCATCCCTTCATTCAGCGTCACTTGGAGATGATAGAGGCGTCGAATCCCGAGATGTACCGCAACTTCAAGCAGATGGAATCCTACAGGTCCATACTGCGTGTCAAGACGTACATACCACACCATGTGCTAGAGCATTGCATCCCACCGCACTTCCTAGCCGAGAGGGAAATGAGACGCGGCAGCGTCTGACTGACACAGAGAGACAGTGAGCGAACCGACTTTTGCCGAGTGGTTGCCATTTGCTGGGATGAGCTTGCTTGGTCTTGTCTCATGTGGGTGAGGGTTTTGCTGGGCTGATCGGCGTTTCGGGGTCTCTTGTCGGCTGCTCATTTTGTGGGAAGGGGCGACCAGCAGCATCAGCAGCAGGCAGCCTTGTTCGTTTTCTGTGTCAGTATTGTCTGTATACATGCGTGTCCGCGTGTCTGTATCAATCAATCAATCATCATTGTGTGGGACAGATCCTTGGTTCGTTCGTTGTGTATACACGTGAACGCTCTATATATCCTTGGCTCTCTCTCACCCCTGCCTTCGCTGTCCTTGCGTGTGCAGGGGAGGCAACAAGCTCGAAAGCGCCGCATTCACACTCATAACCTCCCAACTGGTCGGACCAAGTACGCAAACATACGAGACACGACACGCAAGACACTAAGAGCAAGGGAGAAAGGCAAAGGTGACTATATGGATAAGTGGGCTTGGACGCCACGCCTGTCTGTGTTGCATACCATACATGCAGATGACGATGAGACCCACAAACTGACGAAGCTCTTCCGTTCACTCGGTAGATCTGATCATAACATCTGTACAGGACGTATCTGTCTTTCGATCCACCAGATAAGAATGGCGACGGTGTCCTCACGCACGACGAGCTGTACGAGGCCTTCCTCGAGGTAAAGTGGATGCACGACAAAACATGGCTTGCGACGGCGCGGCTAGGGAGCTTGCTTGCATCTGTTTCGGCTGTGTCTGCAGATATACGGAGACCCCCTCCAGGCCCGTCGGAGAGTCGAGTGAGACAGAGACAGATAAGGCGAGAAAAATGTGATGCAAATCATGTCCTCTGCCTTTGTTTCTCGTGCTTCAGGTCTGTCCTGGCTGAGTGCGACCAGTCCAACTCCGGCAATCTGTCGTGGACTGAGTTTCTGGTCGCCAGCATGAATCGGGAGGCCCTGTTGTCCGAAGAGAGACTCAAAGGTGCCTTTCTGACACTGTCGGGCAACAAGGACATCATCGATGCCTCAGATCTGAAGCATCTCTTCGCTACTGAGAACAACATCATCGATGAAGATCGTTGGGCGGAGCTGCTGAACGATGTCGACTGGAACGAAGATGGAAAGGTGAGACATAAGCTCCATGCTAAAACAAGAGTGCCATTTGCTCGCGATTGTCATCAGATCGACTTTGAGGGCTTTACACAAATCCTATTCTGTGCCGTCCATCGTCCGAACAGCTGCATGTCGTCACGCAGAGGGTCAATTATCTTGGAGAAGATTCTGTCTCCGCGTGGAAGCATCATGGACTTAAGTGACGAAGTCAGGAAAGCCTTCGACAGCATGGATGGGGACAAGAAGGGTGCTGGGCGCAGGGCGACTTTCAAGAAAGGGGCTCCTGCTCAGTAGCAGGGAGGAAGAGAAGATAAATATCCGTAGACAGTAGAGCGTAGAGTAGCTTCATGTTTATTGGGGATTTTATCAATATCATCGAGCAGTGCCTTGTTTTACATGTTTAAAGTGTTTCCCGTGAGAGAGCAGAACTGCACTTTCTCTGTGTGCTGCCCTGTTCGTGTTGCAGTCATTTTGTGGGGAGAGGGCAGGCGGCCTTGTGCCTCGCCTGATCGTTTGTGCCTCTTGCCGCTTTGGCAAGTAGCAGTTTGTTTGGTAGTCATGCATCCGTAGCGCTCATGCGTGTATGCAGTCTGGGTTTTGGTGGCCAAAAGATGCCTGTTTGTCTGTATGTCGAGGGCAGAGAGACATGCACATAGAAGTATTGACACGAAAAGGGGGTTCAGACGAGTCGACGACGAGACACGACAATGCACAAGCACGGACCTACGGTTTTCTCAACAAATGGGATGACGTGGCAGCACAGGCAAGAATACACGAATTGGTCGATGCCGATCCTGTATCAGGAAGACACTGACCTCATGGCCATGGAAAAACCTGCCCACTGGTGGTGTCATCTCTCGGGGCTACTCAGACTCTCTCGCCGAATGTTCTCCTGCACAACGAGACAAACAGCTGTGTTAAATGTCTCCAACACCCAGCGGTGAATGCTTACGATAATCTGGGCAATCTCTTGCGAGTGGGCAACTTGATACGCTGTGCTCTCGTCCGGCAAAGGAAGTGGACTCATTCGATGGCCGGTCCTGCTTGTTGGCGCTTCAGCGCTTTGCGATTGCTCGACATCTGTAGCTGGCGCCTCTACTATAGGGGCGGCAGCTGATGTCTCCTCTTCCGTCGGAACGCTGCCAGCATCCGACTCTCGCCGATGTGCGGCGTGACAGGTGCTGTGAATCAGAGTGGGGATCGACTGCTGAGCGGCCGCATAAGTCGCCAAGTCAGATGCATCCTTGAACGGAGTTGTTGTCGTCAGCAGCCGCGACTGCTGCGCCTGGGACGCTGCTGCGGCGGCCGCCGACGGATGGCCTCTCCTCTCGGGCACAGGTGGCAGCAGGCCAGGCTGCCCTGCATGGCCCCGTGCTGCGTCATCGTCGTGCGCCACGTCCTCGGAGATGGACCACTCATCTTGAATGACGCACTCCTCTCGCCTCTTTCTCCTTCTCGCCCCTCGTGTGCCGGGTGGGGCCAGCGACTGGCTGGGGGTAATGCTTTTCGTTCCTGATATACTCTTCGATAGACTCTTGGATAGGCTCTTGCTGCCTTGGCGAAACGAGCGCATGACGGGATGGTCGATGATGACCTGTGTACGCGAGACGGAGCGTGAGACATCCCCCTCCTCTTTCGGCTTCGATCGGCTGCCTTGCCGTGAGGCGAGAGGGTGGTCGCGTGCAGTTGAGGCATGGGAATGCGCGCTGCGCTTGCGATTCTGATATACAACACATGCAGCACAAACGCTTAATCGATGTGTTGAGACACATGCTTTCACACATCGTTACCAGAACATATGGAAGAATTGGCTCGTCATATTCGTCCGGGTCTCTGCATACACACGCACTCATGTCATGCGGTTGCCGACTGCTCCCCCCGGCATGAATGGCTTACTCTGCTGCCAGCCTCCGTTGCCTCTCAAGCTCAAGGTCCTTCAGCCGGCCCCACAAATCGACCATCATAGCACTGAGAAGACATGAGACCGCAAAAAACCGTCGTGCGTCTACGGGGTCTTTCGGCAGATCTCTTACATGAAGAGATTGACCATGGCCAGCGCCAGCATAATCATCGCCAGCACAAACAAGGCAGGGCCCATGAACTGATTTGAATCGTGCAACGGATCGTAGTCAAAATCGCCTGAAGGGAAAGTGCATGCTCAAACGTATTCTGCCTCCTCTCTTTGCCTCTCTTTGCAGATTGTCCCCACCAAAGGTGAGCCTGACAAGCGATACAAGTGAGCGCCCAAGTGAGCGGAACCCCTCGACGTTGGCCCCGAATGCCGTGTGAAACAGCATGGCGAATAGCAGAAGAACCTGCGATAGAAAGAGAAACATCGTATGACTGTGGCAGTGTACCAGCGCGATATTGCTGACCATGATCCCGAAGAGAATGAATGTGACCATCGTGGGAACCATGGCGAAGACTGTCTCACTGAGGGTAGCCATCTCGTAGTTCCAACCTTGGACATACCTGGGAGAGGACATGAGGCACGGGCATGCCAGGACTTTGGGTGAGTTGCTTTGTTGTGCATATGTCTCTTTCCACCTGAGTGCCCGCAGGACTCTGAAACACTGTAGCAGAGGCACACAGAGGCAATAGTTGGCCGTGATCATGCAGTAAGTAGGAGTCCTTAGGTTATAATATTTGCTCGAAGGGCCGATCTGACCGAGCAGGAGGCAATGGGTTGGCTATGGCATCGCATGAAAGGATGGACTAACCTCCACGTGCTTTTGCCTGAAGACGTTTTCCGCGTATGTCCGCATACAGAAGAAGGCGATGAGGGACACGAAGGAGAGAAGGTCAACAACGAACCTGTCACTCACGCAACAGGGATGATGAAGAGCAGCTATAGAATGCAAGCTCGTGTCGCTCTAACCAGGGGTCACAGCGACATGTGCATACTGTCCGCAGGCCCTTCGTCAGCCCCATCTGAAAGTACGCAAAACAAAGATGCGTCCTTCGCCAGCCCATTCGCCGTCCCCTGTGTCGTGAGTACTTTCTGTTTGTTCAGTTTGTGGTGTTTGAAAGGATGGTCAGCATCCACCTCACTGGTCGAGTTGCCGCGATGGATCTCAAGCATCACGCTGACCAACAAAAAGCACAAACAAGGACACACATGAGACTGCAGGCGGCCTATCTCCGTGTGTGTCCTTACTGTGTCTACCTTTGTTTACCTGTACCTTCTGTAGGCGCCCTCCTTGCTGGTGAGGATCTGTATGGAGCAGTAGTTGAATATATAGTGGAGCATGTGGAGGGCGAGGATGATCAGAATGACGAGCTGCCCGATGAACACAGCCATGTCGAGGCCGCTGCCCGTTATGCTGCGCGTGAACCGGTGCACCTCCATATGCGAATCGAACTCAAACCCTGAAGGACAACAGAGGCGCTCACTGAGTGTGACACATGAATGGGATGAGCACTGTTGACCTCCATATCCAGAAATCTCCCACGTATATCGATTGATAGCGAAGAGATTGCTATTGGGATTATAGAGTGTCACGTCGTAAGTCACCTGGGCGGGACATGAGGCAGAGACAAGGGATGGATAGAGTGGCGGTGTCGACTTCGTGCTTTTTTTACCAATCTTGTGGTGTTAAGGCGGATCCAATTGGCTTCTTGAAGTATCTCAACGGTCTCGAAGCACTTCTGGACAGCAAAGCAAGCACACAGGGTGACAGCTTAACGATGCAAGTGTACTTCTCTCTGTCCGTACCTGCACATCTGAGAGGTCAAAATCGACGATGAGTCCGCTCGCTGCGCAGAAAAAGAAACACAGACACCAGTCGGTATTGAAGTCGCTTTTCCACTGGGGGGCCCTTACATGGATATCGGATGTCGAACAGTCCGAAGTAGCCCTGGACTTCATTTGAGTTCCTCTCGACCCACCGCTCGTTGACGGCCTCACCGACAACCAAAGCTGCATTTCATATTGTTGCGAGGAGAGGAGGAGGCAAAGTTTGAGAGACAGAAGATGCCGCCATATGACAAGCAAGAATGAGAGGCACAACAAGGTGTCTCTGTCTTGTATTCCATATCCCTTCGTACAGCTGTTGTATCTTGCGTCTCTCGCCTCTGTCTTGGGATAACATTGCCGTATTAGTTTCTCGCGGCCCTCATACTTACTAAACATAGGGAAATGGGTCTCTTATTGATGCAAGCAGTAGTTCCTGGGTTTTACTCACGTGAAAACGAGCCCGTAGTCGTCGAGGTCGCAGTCCTTCACCTGCACACGAAGCTGTCTCAGCCGAAAAGCACCCACAGGGAACAGCACACCTGTACGTAAAGCAAATGGATGTCAGTCGAGCAGTCAGTGAAGCCTTTTGTTTGGTGCCTGTTGTGACCTCTGTATCTCCTTAGTTCGACAAAGCTTCGGTTGAACCACTCCCAGAAATGATCCTCATTCTCTGTGATCTTGAAAGCCATCCGCTCGAGGCCTTCCTCTCCGTAAGAAGGAAATATGTTTTCCAAGGCATAGCGGATGAAGAATGCGTTGCTGCCGGCCCTGCCCCTCCCCAGCGAGTAGAAGATGGTGAGTGGCACCAAGATGGCAGAAAAGATGATAAGACAGAAGTTGATGTGCTTGTTATTGATGAAGTTGATGCCTGACGCGCATCTGATCAGCATCATCTGAGCAGTGGTTTGACGGTACAGGACCGGCTGAGATGTAATCGACACTGCTGATACGGATCCCCTCGGCTTCGAAGAACCCGACGACCGGCGCCTTCCGAGTTGATCGGAGAGCAGCTTTCCCAGGCCCGTTGAGTAGCCCCTGCTCCCCCTTCTTGGTCTCGTGACGTCGTCGTCTGCGAACTGGATCTCATGGTGGTCTTCGGGCTGGAATGTGAAGATGCTGTCCCTTTTGTCGCTGCTTGCGACGTGAGTGCTGAGCAGTGACGGCCGCCCTCGGCTATGATCAGGGTGGTCGACGTCGTCCACCTCCTTGCTTACGCTGTTGTCTGCCATGAAGTCGTACCCCAGAAGGAGAGTTCCGAAGGGCAAGTATTTTTCGTGGCCCCCCGCTCCGCCCCCACAGACGGTCTGAGCTAGCAGATCGCACGGCAAATTGTTACCGCGGAGAGTAGGGGGCGCCTGGCCATGTCCCTTATCGTCGTCTTTGCAGTGTTATGTAAGGAAAGGAAATATGAGCATTGTCATCTCACCTGCAATGAGTTGGCCTTCTCCCTCACAGGTCTCCCGCCGTGGCGCTGCGCTGCTCTTCCAAGGTCCAGCGTGACGAAGGATGCAACGTTCCTGCCTCAGAGCTCGGGCGCCCTCGGCGGCCAATCGCCCAACTCGTCTCTGTCACAGCCGCAGCAGCTGCTTTGCAATGACGACCAAGGACACTGCAGCGTGTTGCAAACCGCACAGCGCAGCACTTGGGCCACAGAGGCACCACCCCCACACAGCGAGAGGGAATGGGCACGTTCCGGCGTGCATGCAGAGGAGCCTCCTTCAGAAGATGAGGGAGAACGGCAGGAACACAAGCCAGAACACAACCCGAGACACGGGCGGCAACACGTCAAGGATGCGGCCAAAAAGATCTTGGGGCCTTATAAGCAAGAGAAACCTTCAGAGGCTTTGCACGAAGGTCCGGCCCTGAAAGTGACCGAGAAGGAGCACGACAAAAAGCACGAGGCCCATACGGAGCAGGAAGTCACACACATTGAAGACCACGAGGCCCACGAGCACGGGAGACCAGCGACAGTCGATGCATGCTTCCTGGTATTCCTGCACCTCTTCTCGGCCGTCATTGAGTGGGCAAACTCCAAGGTGCCCTTCATCCAGCTGCCGGTGTCGGTCGTACTCTTCCTTATCGGTAAGACGCCACGGCACATCACACCTGCCTGTCTCTTGTTTGGATTCCTGTCTGACTGCTTACTTATCTACATCGTTCAGGCCTGCTCTTCGCAGCGTGGTGCCACGCTGGCGGTGAGGCACCCAAGTACGATCCCGGCTGGTGGCTGGGTGCGGAGGCCCTCTACACCGTTCGGCGGACGCTTCACTACTCGACACATATCTCACCACACCTCATCTTCTACGTTTTCCTGCCCCTAATCCTATACGAGAGCGCTTCATGCGCACAATGGTGAGACAGCCATTGGTCCCGATACAGGCTAATAGACGATACCTCTGTGTCTCATCAGGTTCATATTTCGCAAGCAGCTGGCCACTTCGTGTCTCCTCGCCTTCCCCGGGGTGATCCTCAACATCCTCATCTGTGGGCTCTTCCTCGTTTTCTGCATCGGCGGTCCCTATCGGGAGAATGTCTTCGGTACATACGGACCCACAGTCACCGGATCCATTCATCCATGACAGAAACTTTTCTTCTCTTCTCGTCTCAGGTGCGTTTCAACTGTCTTCAGTGGCCTCTGCCACTGACCCAGTTGCGGTTGTTGCCATGCTGGGATCGCTCGGAGCACCCAAAGTGAGCCGAGATCACAGAGGGCTGGGACGGTGATACAGTGTTTGCGAATGAGTGCAGAAACTGTCTTCGCTCATCGAGGGGGAGTCGCTTCTCAATGATGGATCGGCAGCAGGTAGCGCTAACAAAGGAGGGAAATGTCAGATGAACTGAGATGCAGCAGTATGTCCTCATATATCCAGTATTCTTCCTCCTGCTCAAGGACTTCGCCTCTGGTGGAAAACCCCCTACACCGTTGAACATCATCATAACGACCCTCCAGCTGGCGGTATCCGGCGATTTCGATGAAGGCCATCGTCACAAGGCAGCAGTGACTGAACAGTGATCGGGTCAACATGTGTGTGTGTCAGATCGGGGGACCTCTCTTCGGTGTCGTATGGGCGGCCTTCATCTCCTTCTGGCTCGACAAGATATGGAACTGGTGAGCAGTTCACCTGCACTGCACACAAGCACATCGCATCACATGTTTATGTATTCCATTGCCTTGCCCCAGGCCCAACCTGGAGATCACAGTGACTCTCTTCGGCATCTATGGTGGCTACTTCATTGGAGAGGCGATCCTTGGCACGTCGGGCATTCTCACCACGGTCTGCTTCGGGTTGTTCTTTGCTGTCGCTGGGAAGTATTCGATGTCTCACGAGACGCATGAGGCGCACCACCACGTCATTTCAGCTGTTGCACACGTGGCTGACAGATCGCTCTTCCTGGTCGCTGGTACGTGAAGACAAACCACACATACTTCTTCCATGTCGGTGTCTTAGCCACTGTCTGGACCTCCTGTCTGTCTGTCTGTCTGTCTGTCGGTGCATGGATGCACACAGGGATGATATGTCAGCGGATCATGCAGGAAGAGGAGCTCGCGGAGTGGGCCATCATGGGGGGACTGTACCTCTTCCTTCACTTCGCCAGGTGTGGATTTGATCCTTGAGTAGTTACGCATAGAGACACAGAAGCACATGACATGCCCAGTCATTCCTTTCACCCGCAGAGCGCTGGTCATCCTGCTCTTCTGGCGTTTCTTGAGCACCTGGGGATATGGCCTCAACTGGAAGGAGGCGGTCGTGCTCTGGTGAGAAACCGACACACAGGCAGTGAGTGCATTAGCAGACAAGTCTCGGTGTACGTGTGTATGTGTGTATATTTGTTTGTACGTATATACGGATGTGTGTGTGTACATTGTGACTGACACGTATACGCAGGTGGGGTGGCCTGCGTGGAGCCGTCGGCCTATCCCTGGCCCTCGAAATGGAACACAACCCTCTGTTGTCCAATGGACTCAGAGACGTAAGACACACGCACAAAAGAGCCCTCGCCTCTCATGGGTGGAACACGATACTTGTCTATCACATGGCAGCCTTCCACGTCGCCGGTGTGGTGCTGCTGACGACATTCATCAATGGTGTGACGGCTGAGTATGTGTACAAGGCCCTGGACATCTACCAAATTAACGCATTCAAGGTAGACAGAGTTGGATGGATGAACCGGACAGACACACATGGGAAGCAATTGTATGTGATCATGAATCCATCAATTAGGGCGCCTACCTGCATAATCAATACGAGATACTGGACCGACTTATCCTGGACCATGCGAGAGGTTTCCAGAAGAACTGGTTGTACAGCGGAGTGCGGTTCGTGCGCTTGCTGAAGGTGCTGCCTCAGTTTTCGAGCGTCATGTTCTCCGCCAGCCTGGTGCCCCACTTCACCAACCCATCGCCGCTCGAGGCCATGCAATCGTGCCCTCTGCAATTCGTCTTGTTGCGGTCGACACATGCATGGCAGACAGGGGGATTCGTCTCTCTCTGCTGCATATATTCCTTTCTTGTTTGCAGCCGTCGCACGAAAGATCACCGTCTGTCGACTGATTCGCAGCTGTTGGAGGATCTCAAGAAGAAGCGGGCTACCGTCCGCGTGTCTATGGTCGGCCTGCAGGCCAGCGACATGACGCAAACCAAAAAGGAACAACAGGTGAAGGCAGCAGAGACCCAACAGCATCATAGACACATAGTTGTGTCTCGTTTCTGATCAGTTGTGTTACCAGATGTTGTTGCTGATGAAGGCTGAGTACGACGAGATGTACGAGCACCACCTCATGTCAGAGAGCGCATATATCATCGCTCTCGAGGGCGTGAACGAGGGACTCGACGTGGCCAACGGCGAGAGACAGCACCAATATGCTGCCAAGGTATTGATTGGGTGGATGAGCAGGCGGGACACAGGAGAAGCAACCAAATCAGTCAGCACTCATTTCGGTACTTCATGTGGCCAGACTGGAGTCAAGAATGTGCGCTTCAAGGCTGTTCAGGCGTTTGAGGAAGAGTGGAAGGTATGTATGCATGTCGTGCGCTCTCTTGCCGGTCGAATGACCCTATTCATTTTGTCCACTGGATAGGTGATATCTGGCTTCGTCAAGGGCCGCGAGAGCGTTAGCGGCGAGGGCAACTTCACCGGCATGGTCGCATGGAGTGAGCGGGTCATCGGGGAGCGCGTTGCCATGCATACGGCGCATTTGCACGGCCTGCGTCCTCTCTCTCTCTCTCTGTGTGTGTGTGTGTGTCTGTGTGTGTGTGTTGGTGTGTGTGTTGGTGTGTTGGTGTGTGCAGGTATGATTCATTTTGGCGACCCCCAGGGCATGAGCTCCCTGTATCAGAAGACCATATGCAACGTCCAACTGCTATACGCGTAGGACGTAGACGTCAGCAAACATGTATACGTGTGTGTACAGCTATCTCCCTCGTCCATTTGTACAGGTACGTCCAGACTCGTGAGCACGTGATTCACAGTTTTGAGTTGCTGTCCCCCGTCACGCGCGACGTTGCTCGTGACGTGCTGGACCACCTCACCCAGACTGTACGACGTTCCGACACATTAATCGATTCTTGGACGGACACAAATCGCTGCATGTGGCTCTGCCTACGCGGTGGGATATCATCAGGTGGAGAAGGCCAAGAAGCTGCTTGAGACAGAGGTCATGTTCAAGAACCCCATCGTCTTCTCCCTCGTCTGCAACGTCACGGCGGGTAAGCAACACCTGCATGGACCCGCGAGCGCGTGTGCTGCATATGGATTATGTGCCTTCTTTGTTGCTGTCCATCGCTGCAGCTGAGACGTTGTTGGCGATGGGTTTGGAGGAGGCCAGGGGCCTGGTCAAAGGCGGCTGGCTCCTCCAGGAGGAAGTCGAACCTATCGAAGAGGTTCCTCACAAATGTTCATTCATGTCTCCATTTCTCTCTCTCTCTCTCTGTGTGTGTGTGTGTGTGATAGATTTTGTACGCCCACACGTTTGCAGTGCAGCGCCTCCGACCCCACAAGCTGCTCAAGGGACGGTAGGGCACACCTCAACACACGATATGCTCTCGGTCGTTTGCTCTTCGTGTCCGTCAGTTCTGTATTCCACACGAGCATGTCGCGTGCCGTGCCAAACTTGGTCAAGACGCTGTCGGGGGCCGACGTAAGCACCGACCTCACTGACGAATACATGCAGACCGCAGCCAAAATGGTGAGCAAGAGAGTGAGGCCAGGGGGTGGCTTCCCCACTCTGTGTGCATGTGCTGTGTTGACCTCTGTGTGTGTCGATCAGATCAGGAACATGTTTGTAGTCAAGTCAAGGAAGCTGCACGAAGATCTCAAGGCCAAGTACAAGTGGCTGCTTCAGTGATGATTCCACTGCAGCAGGCACCATCATGAGTCAGAGAAATCGCTGCGTCGAGTTTTGATTGCGTGATGAGAGGAGAGCGGATGCGAGTTTGGACTGCTATGAGGAGGACCCATGACGCGACAAATATTCAAGCATATCAGTAGCCAAGACAGAGAAATCTGTACCCCCACATAGTCACTCTACACCTGTGCTACTCAACTTTAGCGGCGCTTCCTGACGCCCTCTCCCTCGTGCTGCCCGTCAGCGGCCTCTGATTTCTTCTCCTGCTCGCCTTCTTTGACTTCAGCAGCATCGGTCACTTTCTTCCTCTGTACTTGCCGAGGCACCACCCGCTTGGCGATGAATCGCACACCGCCCCGCACCATCTTGGCGCTTTTCTGCAGCATCAGCACTTGCTTATACAGCAGCAGCAGCGCCACGAACGACAGCTTGAAGATGGCCAGCAGCATCAGCAGCACAGAGCCCTTGTGCACCGTCGACGCCACGAACAACACGCAGATCCACGACGTGTTGAGCGCGCTCATGGCCGCCAGAGGGGCCAGGCGGGCGAGGGCACCGACGTCGCCACCCAGCATGGCGCTGGTGGCGTCCATGAACACCGGCTCGACTGAAAGGAGGTTCGTCAGGTCGGTCCATATCGACCCCAGCACTCCCCATAGCTTCATCAGCTTGGCGCCGAATATATCTGGAAACTCGATGAGAAAGACCACAGCCACCACAATCTGCAAAAGTGAGCGAAGCGAGAAGAGAGGCCGCGACGGCAGCTCCTCCACAGTCAGCGACAGAGTCTCGCGGAGGTGGGCGACGAGTGAGCCGACTTGAGCTGACGGCGGACACGTCATGATGGCGATAAAGCTGCCTCTGACCTCCACGCCTGCCGAGAGAGTCCCGTTGTCGCACTCGAGCTTCACCACTGTCGCATAGGTCTTGTCATACTTGAGATCTAGGCCCCGCACGGCTGCCAGATGGATGCGCAGCAGGGTATCCTGCGACTGAGCTGACACCGAGAGCACTCCGTCGCCATTCAGCTGGCACTGAAGAGGTCCGCGAACAAACCGGCCGAGGGGAACTGACTCGAAGGGTGTGACAATCGTGGCCGACGTGACAGGCAGGGTGCAAGAGAACGCATTGTCCGCCGCCATTGAGTAAGCTCCGGGATGATTTCCTGAACCTGCAACACGTAATATGTAGATGTGATGCGGAGAGATCATTCAGTGGGCGTTCCGTCGTCGTTTCGCTCACCTCACAAGGAGATGAGATTCCAGAATTGGGAAGGAAGGAGCACCACAGAAGAATCCTCGCGAGCTGAAGCTCGCATCCTGGCCAAGCTTTGGCCGAATAACTGTATCTGTGATGAGAAACTCGCACATGGATAGCGGTCCACGTGTAGCTATAGCTATGTCCATGAAACAGTGCAAGGACATGACGGCCATCAGCATCATCATGGTCAGTGTCGCGGTCAACAGTGAGCATTGCTAATGAGAAGAAGGCCAAAACCTCACAACAATCAGTCGTGCCTTCCTCCCCTGCCTGCCTGCCTGCCTGCCTGTCATCACCGACACAGACCCTACTGCCTCCGCAATGATCACTCATCAGCGCGGGCACAGAAATCATGCAAAGGGGAACGCATGAGCATACAATGGCAAGGTCTGCTTGTCGCCACGTGTGCCCTCTACCCGGAACATGTTCTTCTGCAGTAGGCAGCCATACACACATCTGCGTGTCATGTGGTAAGCACGGCAAGGTGAGGCGACGGCATGCACGCGCGTGAAAGTCAACAAAACCGAGCGATATCTATCTACTCAGCAAGAGAGGCGCGGATGTATCATAACGGATGTGTGGATGCAGCCCCGTTATTGAGGAGAGTACTCGGCACGTGCAGCGCCAGGGGAGCACACACACACACACACACACACACACCCCACGATTCTAGAAAGCGGACCTCCTCGTATGTATCGAGAAAACAGTATGCATCACATGCACATCAGCATGAGGCCATTAACGGCCTCCGTGAGGTGAGGTGTATCGTCAGCCTGCATCCTATGCTCCTCTACTTGAAGCCTGCAAGCAAACCGACACCAACCAGACATGTGCTGACAGCCACACAGCCTGCGTGTGCTCATCTATTTGAGTCACCTGCCATCCTGTTGTTGACCGGTCGGGCCATGAACCGTGACGACTTCATGTAAGACGATATCGCAGGCTGACACACAACACATGAAGTCACACACACACAGGACATACACTTACACACACTCCTGCCTCCATTGTGTGCCCTGTGTGTGTAGCTTGGCTTACGAGTGCTTCGAATCTGTCGCAGTATGCCTTGAGGTTGCCGTATTCGTCGAGGGCATCCTTCTTCATCAAGCGGGTCTGGTCGAGCAGCTCTGATCGACCCACATACACAGACAGGTGCCAGAGAAGAAAGAACCACACACGAGCACATGTCGTCTGTCTGTCTGTCTGTCTGTCTGACCGTAAAGATGGAAGTCAGGGAAGGTGATCTGCTTGCCAACGAGCCACTCCCTGAAGGGGCCGCACAGCACAAAACGATAGACACAAGAAAGAAAGGCCTCTGACTCTTCCTCTCTCCTCACTTGTCGGCGAGATGATCACTGAAGCACTTGAGGAACTTTGACATCGTTGTCTCAACCCACGCCTCTGAAGGAAGTGACACATGCTTGTGTGTCCGCAGCGATGACGTGACGTGACACATCGGTGGGTGGACATCCGTCCTTGATCAATGATTGCCTTACTGAAGTTGGTGTCGAAGTCGGGGCCATAAGCCACCTTCACAATGGTGTTCCGGTAGTCCATGACCACGTCTGCACACATGTCCACACGGGCCTGCACACACACACACACACACAAGCCCACACACAGAGGATATGCCCGTAAGCCGCTAACACCACACCACATCACACAATGTGTGTGTCTGCGTACCATTTCATGGGGGCCCTCGCCCAGCAGCTTGGGGTTGTAGTTGCGGCAGATGTGACGCATGACTGAACGCACCCGCAATGGACACATCAGTGGCTGCGTCTAATCCGCGCGTATCATACTGGCATTTGTCTGGGAGATCTTGACGTCGCCATCGATCATGTACGGCAGGTTTGAGAACTCCACGCCCAGCGTGTGTTTGACGTCCAGCCAGCTCTTGGCGCTCCAGCCGCCCTCCGGCGTGGCCTCCAATGCATACCTGAGACAGACCACATGTTTAACAACACGGGCGTACGCTTCCATTCCTTGTAGAGCGGTGTTTGCTTCCTCTTCCTTCTTCTCACTTTTTGTCCTCAAATGGCACGTTCGAATACTCCAACAGAAGCCGACACGGCTGCACAGCACAGGCACACACGTGTGGTGTGCAACGGAGAGAGTGATGAGATGAGTCGCTCAAGCGTGGTTGGTCCTTGGTTTTGATCACCTCACCTGTGCGAGGCCTCTGATGTCCCAGTAGCCGAGCACCACCTTGGGCGCGCCATTCTGCACACCGTTCTGAGCCATGATCTGGTATCGCTCACAGCAGGCGGGCGATGCGAGATCTGTCGTCCGGTGGTGTCGATCAACCGAAACGGGGGATGAAGACACAGGCAGGGAGTCAGATCTGGACAAAGGTGCGAGCTTTGAAAAAGCTCGCAACGGGAAAAGAGGCGAAAGAGAAGGAGCTGCAAAAGAGCCCGCCATGGCGTCTGATTGGGGAGAGAATAGTTTGTTGCGTTTGTTCAGTCAGGATTTCGAAACGACTCCTCCTGCATCCCACGCTGCGCCCCGTTGGATTTTGCCCCATCCAGGTGACGTGAACTGGGAGTTAAGCTGGAAGAACGCAGGCACAGACATCCTTCGATGTCCGGCGATTCCCACGGTACGCAAAAACGAGAAGCCTCACTGCAGAGCTCGACGCTGCTTGTTCTCAGTTTGTTTCGAGTTGGTTGGCATTTGCCCTGTTGGCGTGGCCCCTGCGCACCCCAATCTATCGGCTCTCGCGGTGGATCTATCGTCACCTATCTGCTGCTGCACCACCGGCGCGCCCCGCGGCAGAGTCAACATGGGTCTCTTACCTTCTGGCGGCCATCAGCTGCTTATGGACCTGCGCCACGTGTTTCGGGTTCATCGTCTTCACGTGAGCGTGCTGGAAGATGTTGGCAGGCGAGTCTGAAAGTGGCCCTTTCAGTGCTGGGCGAGTGCCGGATTTCCTGCTCCCCTCGGCTGTGTTCCGTGCCGCCCTGGCGCATGCTGAAGGATGGCGGGCAATGCTGTGCGCCTTTGTGTACGAGGCGGTGCTGATCGGCTGTGTGTGGGCCATGGACGTGGAGCTGCCGCCATGTGTGCCGTCCGAGTGGGTCGTTTTCCGAGTGGTGGTTTACTGGGAGGTTAGTGCGAGTTTCACATATCTCGTTGCGGGGCTTTTCTGGATGCCTTTTCGATGGGCGGCGCAGTGTGTGGGCCTCGTGGCGGCTCCACCTGCATGTGAACAGGTGACGGCTGGTCGACTGAAGCGGGTGTGGGTAACAGGGGCGTGCGCGTGGTCCTTGGTCGTGCTTTGCGTGGTCATCGGGGTCGTCCTGGGGCAATACCTGTGGACCATCGCAACCGTCTGTTTCCTTCTCTACGGCCTGCAAGCTGAGCTGGGAACAACGCAGCTCGGTGCGGTCCTTTGGGGGTTTCTGCAGGCGTGTTTCGCAGGCGCCACCCGGCTTTTATCCCGTCTGCATATGTGCCTGGCGGCCCTGACAACGTGGCGACGGCAATATGTGGAGCACAGTACGGCGGGAGTGTCCCAGCAGCGCCAGGATACCGTCTTCCAGGATCAGTGTGACATGAGTATCGTCCATGGGCTGATAGTGCCCTGCCTTGTGGTCTATGGGTACGATGCCATCTTCCTGGCTTTTGGGGGATTCTACGTTGTCGCGTTGTATGGGTCGGAGGATATTTTCCTAGTTTGGGACCTGCTGGCGTTCATCGCCTTTGGACTCACCGTTGGCAACAAGAATCGTCCACCGCAGCCCCATGTCCCGTTCCCATTCGATGGGGCAGGCCTCCGATCGACGGTCATCAACTTTCTGGCCTGCGCCTACCTGGTGTGGTTTGTACTGCGGGTATGTGGGAGTCTCTACTCGCTGACGGACAGCACGCTGTTTTACCTTGACACAACCCGGGGCCCCGCCCACCACCTTCTGGGTCTGGCTATGCGGCAATTTCTGACAATGGAGGGCGGGAACAGCCTGGGGAACGGCGAGCTGGGAGGCGCGACGCGGCTCCGCGTGACGCCATTCATTCTCGTCTACTTCCCCCTCGTGTGGTCAGTTCACGTTGCTTGTGGAGTGTGGTGCCTCCTGCAAACGGCGTCACTCTTCTTCGGCACCAGCGACGTGATAGTGAACATTTGTGCATTTGGGACAGCCGCCGCCTATGTTTGGGCCACCATGAGCAGCCACGTCCTACCGGGAGGTGGATTCCACCAAAACTGTTCTTTGGGCCTGACTTACCTCTTTTCCTGTCCGCACGAGGCGCATGAGGGCTACAGGGTGTTTGTATCGTTGTTGGCGGCCGGCTACCTGTGGTGGTTTGTTCTCGACCAGGGCTGGGCTCTTTATCTTCACTGTGCACAAGCGACGGATGTCGAGGGAGAGAACGAGCAACAGCAGCAACAAGGCAGCAGTGAAGAGACGGCACCGGTTTCAGAGCCGACGCCAGCTACCCAACCCGATTCCGTGTCTTTGTCTTGCCAGCAGTCATCAGCAGCTGTCGGCGTCGCCACCAAGAGCCAGAAGCGGCGGGAAAGGAAGGCGAGGAGAAGGGCTGGAGTGGCGACCCAGGAGAGCAATGAGAGCCGCCAGATAGGCTCGGCTGCCTTGTCGGCGATCGACGAGTCTCTGGCTGTGGTGGAGGAGGGCGAATTCAGTCTAGAGGGTACTACCGTGACGACAGACAACACGACTCCCGAACCGTGCCACCCAGCACGGCCCGAAGAGACAGCAGGCCTTCCCCCACCTCCCCTGCTCCCTTCGCCGGCCCATGACGACACTCCATCGGATCACGCAGTGCCTACCACAGCTAGCATGACCCCAGAGGAGGCATTCCCACCGTCACCACGAGAGACGCGTCACAGCCATTCATTGAATGAGGCCCTTCTGCTTCCCGGTTCGGCTGCTGCTGACGAGACGGCAAAACCGTTATGCGCCGTCTCCTGCGCTCCGTCGGCCCTTACGCCGCCATGGCCAGAGCGGATGGCCGAGAGCATGAGCGATGGGGGCCGTCAGATGGGCTCGGCTGTTTCGCCAGTGATCGATGAGTTTGTGGCTTCGGCGGAGGATGGGAACGGCCAAGAGGACCCCATGGTGACGGCAGACAGCACGACCCGCGAGCCCTGCCAGCCACCTCCGCTAGGCACGAGCTGTCAGTCTTCGTTCGAAGATACAGCGGACCTCGCCACTCCTTCTCTGCTCACCTCTGACCAGGGAGACTTCACCACAGGCAGCGCGACTCCCGAGGAATCACAGCCCGCGACATACTGGAATGAGAGGACGGGCCTCTTCCCGTCATTCTTCCTTCCCAATTCAGCTGCCGCTGATGACTTCCCTCCGGTGGCGGCACCCATGTCTTCCTTCCCCTGCGCTGCCGTCACGCCCCCTCAGCTGGCGACTGACGACGAGACGGCAAATGGCGACATCAACACGGCATCTCCCCCACCATCGCATCAGCGTTCAGGAAGGAGGCGAGGACGGAGGCGATCAGGCAAGCAACCCACGAAGGGAGACGCAGCGACACAGACGTGGCGACGGACCTGGGTGCCGCGAGGCGACTCTGCGTCATCCAGCGATCCGCAGACAGATGCGATGGAGCGAGGATGGGCATGCTTCAGCGCTTGGGCTGGGGAGGAGCAATTGACGGAAGGTGCCGAGGGGCAGGGGGATGCCACTGGTGACGAGGTAGCTGCGCCCTCGTCGAGCAGTGTTGATCTGGGCGGCGGCGCTGTCGATATAGATGGTGGCGTGTACGATGCGGCGAGAGGCGAGGGCGGGGTGCTGGCTGCGGAGGCGTCCTCGTCTGTGTCTGAGCGTCCTCCCTCTGCGGGCCCACCGGCAGTTGTGGAGCCAACGGTGGAGCCCGCCATGGCGTCTGATGATGAGGGCAATGCCATGGTGGCAGGAGACATATACGACGGCCAAGTGCACTTCGCCGTTTCTGTCTGGGACCATATAGCTGCCCCTGCTGCCGTCAGACAGCCACAGCAAGTGGGGGAGATTGTATTACCGTCGGCCGACTTCCCCGCTCTGCCTTCCCAGCAGCCATCGGCAAGTGTCGCCATGCAGCCATCACAGCCGCCATTGGACAGCGGGATGGCCGGAGGCTCGCCAGCTGCTGCGCCACAGCACCATGAGAGCCAGGATGTGAATGAGCCAGCAGAGGAACCGGGTATGCAAACGGAAGGGCGAATGAGTGGATGGATGGATGGATGGCATCATGGGCTTTGTCGTGTGGTGTTCTCTGTGTGTCGGTCGGTCAGAGCCTGCTGCTGAGGATAACAAGGCCGCCAAGTGTGTGGTGTGCCTGTCCAACACACCCACCGAGCTGTGCTTCCCATGGTTGGTCGGTGGGCACACACTCGAACACAAACAGTGGTTCAGGGGGCAGACGTGTTTTTCATGCTCTCGTGCGTTGTCTTGTTACGTGTGTATTGTATTGTGTGTCAGCGGCCACACCTCCCTGTGTGAGGGCTGCCGCAAGGTCAGGCACTTGACACACATCCACACCAGCTACCCTGCCGTACACTCATCCTGTGTGTGATTCGTGTGCGGCTGTTCAGGTGCACGAGTCGTATTACCTCTCCCATGGGTGCCCCTACTGTGACAGCGACGTCCAGATGCTCGTCCACGTCCAGACGCCATGCTGATCCATCTGTTGACCTCGTGAATCGGCGGCAAACTGGCGGATTCATGGGTTTTGCAGACAGGCTGGTGTAGGCGGTGCTGGGTGTTGGAAAGAGTAGTTTGATGTGTCTTGGTTGACCGTGGCCGTTTCTCTGCAACAGCAGATGAGAAAGGCCTGACCGTTCATTCCATGGCTTGACGCGGTTGCTGACAGCCAGCCAGCTGTCTCTCTCTCCTCCTCTTTCGCTCTCTCTCTCCTGCCTTTTGCTGGTCAAGGTTCGTGTGTGTGTGTGTATCTCATTTGTGTGTAATGTATGTAAGTAGGCAGGTTTGTCTAGCTAGCTGCACAGGTCTCCCTCTTCGATCGCCCTCGGTGGTCGTTGTCTGTCTCTCTGTCCGTGTGTGTGAGATAGGTAGAGTATTTGTCACTGGTGTGTGACGTCTACAAGCATCCATCCATCGATGTATGTCTGCTGTCACCTGTACAGGCGGATCATTTGCGTGTGCGTACGTGTGTCCATCTAATGCAATGCAATGCAGTGACCTATGCCTTCCCTTCGTTCGTTCGTTCGTTCCCATTGGGACGACCAAGGAGCTCACTGACCTCTCACACACAGATAAAGCACCCAGGCCGCTTCATTCACAAGACACGATCATCCATCCATATGCCACCCCAGCCCACCCCCTCCGGCACTCATTTGACCACCAGGTTGACAATCTTCTTTGGCACATAAATCTCCTTGACCACCCGCTGCCCCTGCTCCTCAACCCTCGCCAACACACCAGCCACCCTCGCGTCATCCCGCAGCAGTCGCAACACGGCCTCCCTATCTCCCGCAATAGCCGCAGGCACCTCCAGCTGCCCCCTCAGCTTCCCGTTGACCTGCACCGGCACGGTGATCGAGTCCTCCACAAGCAGGTCTTCCCTGTAGGTCGGCCACTTGGCTGCAGTGCTGATGGAGTGCTGTGGGAGGGAGGGGTGGAGGACGGCCCACAGCTCTTCGCATACGTGGGGGGCGAAGGGGCTGAGCAGCAGCACCAGGGGGGTGGCGACTTCTCTCGGGAGGTCGGGCCACTTGTAGACGGCGTTGAGGAACTCCATCGAGGCCGAGATGGCGTTGTTGAACTTGAGTCCCTCGATGTCCTCCGTCACGCGCTTGATCAGCTTGTGCAGCGCCTTGAGCTCATCTCGTGTCGCCTCCCTCTCCGAGCAGCCACACCCACCATCAGGAGAGACGATCTTCCGCCACAGCCGGTTGAGGAAGCGGTGGACGCCCTCCACGCCCTTGGTGCTCCATGGCTTGACGCTCTCCAGCGGGCCCATGAACATCAGATACAGCCGCAACGAGTCCGCCCCGGTGGCGGCGATGATGTCGTCAGGGTTGACGACATTGCCCCTGCTCTTGCTCATCTTCTCGCAGCGGGAGACCACCTCGATGGTCGGGTCGGCCTTGAGCACGAAGGCGTCACCCTTCTTGACCAGCTGCTCGTCGCCCACCCGCTCTGGCGTCAGCTCTTCTCCCGTTGAGGCGTCGGCTGGGGTGAGGCCGGACATGTCGACGTCTCTGGCAGTCGCATGTGCGCCGTCTTGCCTCCGGAAGACCGTGTGCTCCATCGGGCCGAGAATGAGCCCCTGGTTGACCAGCCGCTGGAAGGGCTCAGGTGTCGACACGACGCCCAGGTCGTAGAGGACCTTGTGCCAGAACCGGGAGTACAGCAGGTGCAGGACGGCGTGCTCCGTGCCGCCCACATACATGTCCACCGGCAGCCAGTACTTCTCCAGCTCGCCATCGATCGGCGCCTCCACGTTGCTCGGGTCCACAAAACGAAGATAGTACCAGCACGACCCCGCCCACTGCGGCATCGTGTTGGTCTCCCGCCGCACTGTCTGCCCGTCCACGGTCGTCGTGACCCAGTCGGTTGCCAGCGAGAGGGGGCCCTCGATTGACCCGCTCGGCTTGAAGGAGTCCATTTGCGGTAGAGTGATGGGCAGGTCAGTCTCCGGCACCGGCATGGCCTCGCCGGCGTCGTTGAATACGACAGGGAAGGGCTCGCCCCAGTACCGCTGACGGCTGAACAGCCAGTCCCTCAACGCGTAGTTGGTCTTCTTGCGGCCCCTGCCATTATCCTCCAGCCAGGCCGTGATCTTCTCTTTTGCGTCGGGGGCTGACATGCCGTTGAGTGAGACGAGGTCGCTCTCAGAGTTGACCACGACGGTGTCTGCCGTCTCGGTGAAGGCCTCTTGCTGGATGTCCCATGAGTCGTCTCCAGCAGCGGCGATCACCTGGACGATGGGCAGGTGGTACTTGAGGGCGAACTCATGGTCCCTGACGTCATGGCCCGGCACAGCCATGATGGCCCCGGTCCCATAGCCGCCCAGCACATAGTCCGCCACCCATATGGGCACCCGCTCCCCGCTAACAGGGTTGACGGCCAAGGCACCAGTGGGCACGCCAGTCTTGGACTTGGTCTCGGTGCGCTCCAGGTCGCTCTTGGACGCAGCGGCCTCGACGTATGCCGTGACGGCGGCTTCTTGGTCGGGTGTGGTGAGGCTGGCCACGAGTGGGTGCTCCGGTGCCAGTACGACATAGGTGCAGCCGAAGAGAGTGTCGGGGCGGGTGGTATACACACGAATGGCGGCGTCGGGCATGTCAGCCACCTGAACCACACACACACAGGGAGAGAGAGGGAGAATAGGACATTGCGTGAGCATCTCAGTGTAGGTCTGGGGGTCTGTGTGTGGGGCTGTGTGTGTGTGTGTGACCTGGAAGTCCACTTCCGCGCCTTCTGATTTGCCGATCCAGTTCCTCTGCATTTCCTTGACGTTGTCGGGCCAGTCGAGCATATCCAGGTCCTCCAGCAGGCGGTCCGCATAGGCAGTGATCTTGAGCATCCACTGCTTCATGGGCCGCCGGTAGACGGGGAAGCCGCCCCTCTCCGACTTGCCGTCTATGACCTCCTCGTTGGCCAGCACGGTGCCCAGCTCGGGACACCAGTTGACGGGCACTTCCGCCTGGTAGGCCAGTCCTCTCTCGAAGAGCTTGAGGAAGATCCACTGCGTCCACTTGTAGTAGGCCGGATCGGTGGTCGACAGCTCCCTCTGCCAGTCGTAGGCGAAGCCCAGGCTCTTGAGCTGCTCCCTGAACCGGTCGACGTTCCGCTGCGTCGTGATGGCAGGGTGCGTCCCCGTCTGCACGGCGTACTGCTCCGCCGGCAGCCCAAAGGCGTCCCACCCCATCGGATGCAGCACGTTGAAGCCCCGCAGCCGCTTGTACCTCGCCAGGATGTCAGTGGCTGTGTATCCCTCAGGGTGTCCCACGTGCAGGCCCGAGCCAGAGGGGTAGGGAAACATGTCAAGCACGTAGTACTTGGGGCGGCTGGTGTCGATGTCGGGCGGCGTGCGGAACGTCTGGTTAGCCTCCCAGAACTGCTGCCACTTCCTCTCTATCTCGGCATGAGGGTAAGCGGCCACGGCCGATGCGATAGAAGAAGAAGACGGCGACGATACTGCCTCGTCATCGACTGATGCAGACGTAGCAGCTGCGGGCCGCTCTGCTTCGGCAACAGAAGCAGAAGAGCTCATCTGCAGCCTCAAGTGCCGCGTTGCTGGTGGCCGCCTGCTGTTGCTGGTGAGATCTGCTGCATGCGGGGCGAGGAAAGCCGCTTGCCGCCTGCGGATGTGGCCAGAAGTGCCTTGGACGATGGGCCACAGCAGCGAGAGGAAAGGTACCAACCTCATGATCATGCTGACGAATTCAAGAAGATCGTTGACCCGATAGCGTCTGTCCAAGGCAGCGGCAGCAGAAAGTCGCTCAAACGTCGCGGCGGCGGAGAGAGTGGTTCAGTGACAGCGGTTTCACGGCTGCGAGCTTTAGAACTGGTCTGAAGTGCGTGTTCTCCAAGATCTGCAGCTGCTGAGGACCAGCTGAGTCTGTGGATGGTGTTGGTGAAGAGTTGGTCCATTGAGATGCGTCCGTTGTGGTCTGAGCAATGAGGAGACTTCGCCCACGGTCATGGGTGGCCGGCGGGGCTATCGCAGTTGCCCTGCTGGTGCAGATCTCGCTATCCTACCGCCTTGGCGACACCCACCTTCACCACGACGACCTGTGGCACGATGCACACGAGGCAGCGGCCGGCGGACCTTCGCGGACCCTCCAGCCATCCGCAGACGGCCTGGAGGGCTCCCCAGTTGTCAGCGGTGCGCGAGATGCAGAGGGGGATTGCGGCGGTGACTCCCCTGATGATGAGTGGGACAAGTGTCAGATGACCCGGCCCAGGAGGCCACGGAAGGTGTCGCTCAAGGGCATCTGGAACAGGGTGCTGAGCAAGGACAGCAAGGAGGAACAACAGCAGCAGAAGACGCGCAAGAAGGAGTGTGCAAGGGGCGCATCGGCGGCATGGAAGAAGTGCAAGGAGAGGAATGGGCAGCAAGGCGGCCTGCTATCCCGAATCAAGCGGTGGTTCAGCAACAGGTTCGGGGGCGCCTTTCCGTGGGTACGTGGCAAGGGTGAGGTGATATCTATCAAGAGGAACGAGACGGAGAGGGCGGCTGCGGCTCCCCGCAGCGAGGCCGACATGGAGGCCTTCCGTCGGTACCGCAGCTGGATCTGGCTGGGGCTGGTCAGTGTGGTCATCCTCATCAGCCTGGCATTCGAACAGCTCAGGGAAATGATCCTACACACCCTCACGGAGAAGGGAGAAGAGGTGAGTGAGCACACAGACCACAGAGAGAGATAGGGGATAGAAGAAGGCAACGCACGTGTGTTGGGAGGGATTAATCTTGTCTGCCCGTCCTTTTGTCTGTCGGCTGCAGGACTACAAGCGCGTCATCTCGCGTCTGTTCGAGGTGAGCATCGGCCGGCCACACACCCATCCCATGTGCAGGGCGCCGCGTCTCTTGGAATCGACCAATGCATGTGTGGTGTCTGCTTGTATGTGTTGCCCTTGCTTGCTCCGGTCCATCATACATATCAGGAGCTAACGACTTTGGGATTCATCGCCCTGTGTGTCTTCGCGCTGATGCGGACGGGAACCTTCCACAGCCTCTCGCACTTTGTCTTCAGGTGCGAATCAGACAGACATCCCCCATCCCCCATCCACCACACACACGGTCGAACGAACGCGTCACTGATTCTTGCAGGGACCACTTGGCGAGCATTGAGGGCGACGAGCACGGCGGTGAGGGTCATCCGCTGCTGGCTGAGATGTTTGAGGAGGTCCACATGCTGCTCTTCATCGCCATGGGGCTGCTCATTCTCATCGCCCTCTACTGCGTCACAATCGCTCACCACACCGCAGCCAAGTTCGCACACCAACACACACACACACACACACAAGACAGCCGCACACACCCACCCCACATATCTGTGTGTGTGAAAAGGTGGCGAGAGGCGGAGCGCATGTCGCACGAGACTCTCCTGGAGATCCACGCCCACTACGCCACGAGGGGCGACCGGTTCTTCTGGTGGTGGCAGCTGCGCCGCGCCTTCGCACGACTGACCCACCAGCCTTTGCGTGCCGAGGGGCCGGTGGTGAGCCGCGACACTCTGCTGCGGTGGCTGGACTACCGCGCCATCCGCAGCGAGTTCGTCAAGCCGAGCGTGAGCAGCGTGCCGGGTGTGGACGCTGACCCGCTGTCCTTCCCTTTCTACAGCTACCTCAAGGCATGTATGGTGAGCGATATATATGGGTGGCGGAGAGAGGGAAGGAAGGGGGGGAGGGGTGCATTCGTGTGTTGCTTGGATGGATGTTAATGCAGGTTGATTTCGTAGTTGAGTTGCTGCACATCCCCAGCTGGATGTACTTTGTGATCCTCGTGGCCACACTGCCATTCAGATCGGCACTCTTCTGCCTGGTACGCGACGCCACAGCAAGACACTCCCACACAGACACAGACAAACACACAGCACGGTATACAGCCGTTTCCTGCTCTGTGTGTGTGTGTGCGTGTGTGCAGGAGGCGCGCCTGTTTGTGTTGGGCACTGTGGGTGTGCTGATCCCCACCGGCCTGGTGCTGCTGGCCTGCTACCTCAGATGGCTCAAACGAATGCTCACACCACCCGCCGAACGAATCCTCGTCTTCCAGGTCAGAGAAAAGACCACAAAGCAAAGCCCCCAACCACACACAACCACCCCTCTCTCCCTCTCTCCATCTCTCCCTCCCTCTCCCTCTCTGCCTGTGTCTCTCCTCAGCAAACAGAGCTCGACCGCAAGAACCACCGCCGCGGCGACTTCGGCGGCCGCAAGTCGGTGACCTCTCTTGCCGGCATCCCGCCCTTCATGCTGCAGTGGGCCACAAACTCGACCCACTCCGAGGGCGGCACACCATCGGACCACTCACAGAGAAACGGCGACGGCGGGGTCTTCCCATCCACCCCCACCTCCAGCGGCGACCGGGGCGCGGGCACCACCACACACGGCAGCGCACGAGGGGCGGCCTCCTCTCTCTCCCGAGGCATCACGCAGGACTGGGCCGTCGGGTCGTCCGAGTGCTTCCTGGCGCCGTTCCACACGCTTGACCCGGTGCACGCGACGTCGCCTCTGCTGATAGCGTTCGGGGGGACGGCGACGCCCAACCGGCACCAGCAGCTGTTCATCGGATGGAAGAACGGCCCCAAGATCTTGAAGAGCTGCATACAGCTGCTGGTGATTGCGCTGGCCGTCTACACGGCCATTATGATGGGGCAGGTCACCGACAATGCGGGCGTCTTCACTGGCTCCTGGTACGTTTGTGTTGGCACGGTCGATGCGCGCCGCAACACGCCCGCCCCCATGCTGTGTGTGGGGTGTGGGGTGTTGGGTTTGCTGACCAGGCTTGTGTTCTGGGTGGTGGTGCTGAGCACCATAGTGAGTCTGCTGTTCCTGATCCCGGGCATCATCGCCGACGTGACGGTGGTGTGCAGCATCGAGCTCATGAAGAACCAGCACCACGTCATCCGCACGTGCGAGCTCGTCAGGCACGCGCAGTACCTCAAGAGGTTCAAACTCCTCTCACAGCTCAAGAAATTCTCGAAGCTGCAACGGTGCGTGAGAGGAAATTGTGCCACCGGCTGGTGCATTCGTGTGTGTGTGTGTGTGTGTGTGTGTGTCCAGGTACACCCACCTGGCCGACAAGCATCGTGACGTCCTGCGGAAGGAGGTCAGTGAATAAAGAGACAGACGGGGAGACGCGCATTCGAATGAGCGTGTGGGGTGTGTGTGTGTTGGTGTGTGTGTGTGTGGTCGTGTCAGATGGCGTCCCGTTGGCGCGCTTTGAAGGACGTTGAGAAGCGGATGATCACTGCCAGCTTCATTGCCGCCGACAGGGGCTGCAAAATGTAGACGTCAAGAACCAACAAGAGCGCATATCTATGCTAATGGTTCGTTGGCTCACAAGTTGTTGGAACTGATTTGATTGCAGGCATCTGACGGCCAGCGAGGCGGAGCGTGCTCTGCAGATGAGCGGCATCGACATGACAGACCAGGAAGTCAAGAAATGGTCGGTCTCCGCTCACAGACATGGGGAGCTGCTCGTGGGTGTAAATGTGCCTCTGCGTCTGTCCTTTGCGTTGTGTGCAGGTTTGAAGTGTTTGATTTCCACAACCGGGGTCACCTCGACATGGACAGCTTCAGAATGATGATGCTCGCTATCAACGCCACTCTGGTAAGCAACGCCCCACCACACCCCACATCAATGCGCCGTCTCCGTTCCACTGCCCCTTTGGTGTGCACACGTGCATCTGTCTGTCGATCAGTTCGGCAGCCGTTTGACCGAGGACGAGTTGGTGGAGCTCATCAGCATCATCGCCGGCGAGGAGACCCCCCAGTCGCCCCTCGACGCCCCGCCACCCCTCGCACACAGCACCAGCCAGCCCGTCTCCACCCACCAACCCCACCCTCTCACTCGCTCCCTCTCGCGCGAGTCGGCCCCCTCCCAGATGCACCTATGGCTCAACCACCAGCAGAAGATCGGACAGCTGAACCGCTCCGAGTCGCCCAACCCCGCACAGACCTCCACCCGAGCCCCCAGCTACACTGGCAGTGGTGACGGGGGCGGCACATCCCCAGCCCTCTCCTCCCAGACGGTCCCTGCGCGCCAGCCGCCACCCCTGGCCACCGGACACATCGGCGGCCACAGCTTCACCATCAGGCCGACCCTCTCGCTCAGCCGCTCACGCACAGAGAAGAACATCGCTGCCCAGCAACAGCAGCAGCAGCAGCAGCATGGGCCGACGGTCAACGGTGGTCATGGTCACGGTGCGCCGGTGCCGATGCCCTCTCCCCGTCGGTCGAGCAGCCCCGGGGGACAGACGCCGAGGCATGGCGGGGCGGACGTGAGGAGGGGTTCGGCGCCACATGCGCTGACCCACAGTGGGGTGCAGCTGGTGACGCCCGATGATTTGCAGAAGCTGCTGTCCAACACTGTCTCCAGGTGCGACCGACAGAGGGGCGGAGAGAGAGAACGCAGGACGGGAAAATTGTTTGCCTTGTGCCTCTCTCCCCCTCCCCCTCCCCCTCCCCCTCCCTCTGCCTGCCTCCGTGTGTGTGTAGGAGCGAATGTGTGAGCCTGATATCGACGATGAACTCGGGTGCGCCTCGGTCTTACGCCACAGCGGAGGAGTTCTCCAAGTGGGTCAGGAGGGTGGAGGCCGACGTGGACCTGCTGTAAAGCATGAGGATCGAAGGCAGACGGTCTGCCCTCACTGCAAGGAAGGGAGGAAGGCGTGTTGCTTATATATGGCGCTCGTAAAGATTTTTGCAATGACGAGCTTTATAATTTTTCGCCACCACCCATCCATACACACCCACTCACTCACTCACTGACTCAGCGATGCACATGAATGACTAAGGCAGGCATCAACACGCGCCGGTACTGATAGAGGGAGGGAGAAGGGTCCCACATGCAATGCATAATGTGTGTGTGTGCGTGTGTGTTGTGGCTGGGCTGAGACGATGGATGGATGGATGGATCCACACACCACTGACCTCCCTCCTACACGAGAGTGCCCGTAGTGAGTGAATGTGGATGAGTGATGGACTGGATGGTGGCGACCGCAGCATTTTTCCCTGCCTGCCTGCCTGGATGCCTGGATGCCTGGATGCTTGCGCGAGGGAATGGCAACCTGCGCTGACTGACAGGGACATACAGACATATACACACCGACACCCATACATACGAACGTACAAGAGTTTTATGTGCGTGGCATGGTTGGGAAGCGATATGATTGGTTTGGGAGAGAGGAAGGGAGGGAGAGAGGGAGGGGGAGCTGAGCCGATGGATCGAGGGGGTCTTTCAAGGCATCAAGACACTCTGGGCGGGTGGTTGGGTGAGGTGGTAAGGTGAGTGCTACGTACCTGCATGTACTGTAAGCTGAGCTGTCGTGTGCCTGCCTGCCTGCCTGCGTAGACCATCTATATTTATGTTGCTGCTGGGGCGGATAGGATGTATGCGTCCATGTACCTCATTACCTTACCTTACCTTACACGCGCGCTTTATCTAGTGAGTGAGTGAGTGGTGAGTCCATGTGGGTGGGATGCATTCATTCATGTGACCGACCGTGAGTGGGCCAGAGAGAGCCGCCACAGGCTCATCCTTGCCTGCCTGCCTGCCTGCCTGCCTCCTCCTTCGCGTCAAGACATTGCCTTCCATGAGGCCTAAAGAATAAAGGAAGACATTACAGCAGTGTACATTCTCACACGCAAGTAAACCAGTGCAGGAAAGGTCGCTCTCAAACTCTCCGCGTCCTATTGCTCACATGCACACGCACCGGCTCACGCAGCCCGCACACCCACCCCCTCACTAGCGGCACACGCCCACCCGTCTCATACACCCACTCTCTGCACTCAGCCGGCTTCGCCGGCTCCCTGTACACGTTGTCTTCGTCAAGGCACACCGTCCTGTTGTTCCACCTCTGCCGCACGCAGTTGAAAAAGCCATACAGAGCACCGCACCGGACGGCTCGCGCGGTGACGACACTCTCTGCGCCGTCATCTAGGTGTTCGTGTGAGACGTTGACGGCCCGGCAGGACTCGCAGATGGGGGGGCAGGGGAAGCAGCTCAGCGGGTGAAGGTGCAGCATCAAGCCGACCACATCAAGGGTGTACGCGGCAGCCAATCCGCCCTGACGCATCGCGTGGCGCGACAGCTGCAGCACACAAAGCATCAAGAGAATCAACACGACCCAGTTGTCTTTCTTCTGTCGCTGTGGCCGACGCACCTTTCCGAGCCAATGGGAGTGGTTGGCGTGTCTCGGTCCTTGGTGCACCCATTCCGGCGGGGTGAATGGGTGGTGCCGCACAGCGAAGAACCTCCTCTTGCACTGGAAACACACAGCCGCCCCGTCCATCCCAACATCCTCACACCGGTGGCAACCTGACCAACCACACACACACACGTGTATACCATTGACCAGCACATTACCGCTCCCTCCCTCCCTCCCTCACCAGTCGGACATCGGTCCCACTGCTCTGCGGTGAAGTTGAAGAACTGCCCAGCCCGAGGGCCGGGACACGGCGGCACGTGGCGCATCCTCCTCGACCGGCGAAGGGAAGGCCCCGGGGAAGGATGAGCAGACACGTCAGAGTCAGAGGCATGATCTTCTCTCTCGGTCTCGTTCGAACACAGCGGGGCCTCCGCTGTTTCAATCGCCTCCTCAGTCAGACCCATTGCGGCAGGCGCCTCGTCGGGAAACAGTGATCCATCCCTGAGCTCCTCAGCATCAGTCCACTCGTCCCCCGATTCAACGCCAGCTGCATTGTCGTCGTCATCGGCAGCTGCATTCTCAGGCATCCCAACGTGGTCGTCGCCGTCATGCTCATGGTCATGGGCATCTTCATTTCCGACAGGGATTCGCGCTGCTGACGACATCAAAGCGAAGAAGATGAGGCCGATGAACCAAAGGCGCCGCAGATCCATCAGCAACCACGACCCTAAAGCAACCACTAGACAGACGGCCATAATCGAGATGTCTGGGGATTCATCGGGTGCAGCACCACCGCGATCTCGGATCAGTTGCGAGCTCAGATGGATTTTTGAGGATTTTTCCCTTTGTGAGCTGCCCGACGAGCCCGGGACGCATCGTGTTGGTCTGCCCGGCATCACCCGGCAGCCCCCTTCGACCCATCGCCTCTCCCCCTTGCCGACGGGTCGGAGTGATTGAGCGTCAGACGCCATCCAATAGAAGCCATCTATCGGCTCATAGCGGGTGGGCAAACACACACACAATGCAGCACCTAGCTGCACCAGCAGCATGCCCATCTCTTCTCTCTCTGTCTGTGAGGTGAATGCAGCTGTTGCTGTGTTTCTGAGTCATGTCTGAGTCTTACGGCATCGGCATGGCCTCTGCTGCCTCGGCGGACGATGCCGACGGCGATGCAGGTACACACACACGGCATCCCGCCACATGCGTTCATGTGGTTGTCGTTGTGCGTTTCATTGTGTCTGCAGGCGACGTAGACCAGGAGGGGCGTGGCGGCGGCGGACCAGCAGAGGACGACAATCGCAATGGAATCGACGGCGGTGAGTGAGAAGCATGCCACACAGACCAGCCAACACACCACCAGCACCGTGACCATGTAGCAATGCACGTGTGTTTGCTCAGACCACCACCACCACCACCAGCAGCAGCAGGAGGAGCACGACGGCGGGATGGCCATTGAGGAGGGAGGTTCGCATGCTGGAGCTGGTGGCGAATCGGTGAGGCACTCATTCACCCAAACAGAGCGAGTCTATCCGATGCGAGTCGTTGTGATGTCCGTAACCTTTTCCTTTCCTTTGCCCTTTGTGGTGTCAGGATGGTATCATGCAGGAGGCTGGGGATGGTGAGGGCGACGACATGGATGAGGCCGACATTTACGCGTCAGATGCCAACAGGGACATATCCGACGACGGCTATGAGGAGGACGGTACGCCAGCAGACAGACAGACAGACAGGCAGACAGACAGACAGACAAAGAGAGGGCAATGCCCGCTCACATTCACTCTGCCTGTCGTGTGGTGTGGTGGCTGTGTGCTGCAGGGGTGAGTGTCGAGGTCGTGGCGGGCACCCCCGCTGCTGTACCTGAGGGCTGTCTGCGCGCGACTGACATCGAGGCCCGATTCCCTTACAACACCACCGACGCAACCAAGGAGCTGACCCGGTGCATCATCGGCCGCACCATCACAAGCCAGCAGCAAGCCGCCGACCTCATCGAACAGGGCGCCGATCTCCGAAGCTGCGGGAGAAGGGCGACAAGATGTCTGGCATCACCTACCCGCTGCTGAGTCTCGCCATCCAGGACAAGACCGACTGTTGCGTCCTGCCCATCGAGGTGATGAGCGATGATGGCTGCCGTTCCGTCATCCTGCCGCAGTGGTCCTCTGAGGGCATCATTGCCGCACTCATCGACGGAGGCGCTGACATCAACGCGACAGGCAGCGACCTCTATGACCTCGACAATTATCGTGACGACGAGGACGCCAGTCCCATCCGAGTGGCCATCGCATCCGGCAACGAGACGGCATTCAACTTGCTGGTGGACGACATCGACCTTCGCGGAGCAATGGTGATGTAGCTGCCCCGTCCGCTGCGTGACCCTCCTCCCGCGTATGTGCAGCTGCTCATGTCCATGTATGAGCGCCTCATCGACCGAGACCCCACCCTCGCCGCCGAACGGGCCCCCGGTTGCAAGCTGGTGCACAACGCAGCCCGCAACGCGCAGGACCACTATCCCCAGCCCTTCATCGACAGCTACCTGGACCTCATCACAGCGAACGGCGCCGACATGACGGCAGCCTACAGCATTAAATGGACGCCAGCGCACTACGCGGCAGCGTATGGCTCTCCCCAGGTGGCCGACTACCTTTGCCGCAAGCTGCCCGCTGGCCAGATCGACGGACAGGACGGTCTCGGCGACATGCCCCTCGCCATAGCTGCCGAGGAGCGCCTCGGGGCCCAGGATGAGGACGACGCCAGGGTTGACAACCTCAAGCGGATCATCCGTTCGCTGCTTCGGGCGGGGGCCGACATCAATCTTATCGCCACAGACACAGAGGAGCGTCGCCGTCGCCGCCAGCTGGTGCTGGAGGAGTACGTGACGGTGCTGAATAAGCTGCGGGACAACGTCATGGCGGCCGTCAACGCGGCCCTCACCCACCACCGCTCCCTCGCGGCCCTCCTGACCCCCCGGCTGGCCGTCGGCCCGCAGGAGGCCGCCATCTTCGGCTGGCGCATCGCATCATACCTCTTCGACATGGATGCCGCCCAGGAGGCCATCAGTGAGGCCATTGGCGTGCGGCACAGCGACATGGCCCGGCGTGTGTGTGCGGCAGCGAAGCACTTGGTCCTTTCGGCGGTGTACCAGGCCAGCAGCAACAGGGAGGTGGTCGGCGGGACGGTGCATCAGCAGCAGCAGCAGCAGCAGCAGGGCGATGAGGATGAGAATGAGCCGGGAGCGAAACGCGCCAAGGTGTCCGTGCCGCCCCTGCAGTGCTTCGCCACCGATGCGGGTCAGGATGGCGGGCAGCATCGGCTGCTGGGTCTGCGTGAGGTGGTGCACAAGGCCCGGCTGGACGAGGTGGCCAAGTATGGCCTACAGGGGGTGGAGAAGGGCTTCAACGACCACATAGTTAACGACTGCGACTTCGAGTGGGGCCGGCTCGGTCACATCGACAGCAGCGGGGCCATTGTGTCCCTCGCTGAGTCATTCCAGCCGCACGCAGCACCGGTGGCGGGGGCGGGGGCCGATGGTGGTGGGAGTGAGGCGTCTCAGGAGGGCGATGACGGCCGCAATGGTGGCGAGGCGTCAGAGGGACAGATCGGCGGCGGCGGCGACATGCAGGATGGCGACGGCCAGGCACCGGAGGAGTACGACAATGACGGCGACCAGGACACCCGCAGACGCACGGGACCCCAGCCAGGAGACCCGGACGACCCGTTTGCACGTCCGTATTGGTGGCTGACTGAGTGAGAGAGGGAGGGGCCAGCCTGTGTGTTGGTGCCTTAGGTAGGTAGGCAGCTTGCCTGCTGGTGGAAGGGGACGGGCTCATCTGACGAGTCTGTCTGGACGATGACTGACGAGCGACAATGTGCACGGCCTCTCTCTCTCTCTCTGTGTGTGTGTGTGTGTGTTTGTTTGGATGCGTGGTGACTTCCTTCTCATCGACTCAACCCTTCACGAGTTTCTTCATTGGCGTACTGTGGTTTGCACAAACGTCAACGAGTCGAACCTAGATATTTCACATCACAAATGACCGCCACAGTGTCGCGTCGAGGGACAAATAGCCACGGACATGCACACAAATGCACACCAGCCACCACACACGAGCGGTCCATCTCTCACATACGATTAAGGCGGCACCGACCTCGGTCGCAACTAAGAACACGCAAACACATCGATAAAGCGTCAGATGGCTGGATAAGTCACAACCAACCACACCATTTTCAGACCCATCCCACACTCAGCCACCCATTCGATCACCGATAGGGCCCCCCTCGCCATCCGCTGTCCCCGCACCCCCCTGCCGCTCCTCCTCGTATATCAGCCGGGCCCCCAGCAACGCCTCCAGAGGCCACCCGTCCTGCATCCGCAGCCGCCGGGCAAGCGACGGCACACTGGGGGCCTCCCCCGTCTGAGTGCGCGTTGATGGAGCCGAGTCTTCCAGCGGCCGGCTGCCGGCAGGTGATTCCACGCTGAGGGCCTCCTGCTGCTCTGTGCCGGGAGGCTTGTCTTGTCCCCCCTTGGCTGTCGGCCGCTTCTTCTTTCTCCGACGTGTCTTGGCCTTGGTAATGTTGGTCGCCTCTTCGTCAGGCATAATCCGGCCAGCAGGGCCTTCATCGTGGGCAGAGAGCGATGGCTGGATCTCAGAGGGGGCCGTCAGACCCACAGCAGCAGCTTGAGCGAGGCCTCTGCGGTAGGGCTGCCGTAATGCAGGGCCACCACCAGCGGCGACATCGGCCGGTGAGGGCAACGGACAGACAGTCTGCTCCTGGCCCCTCTGGCCGGCCACCGCCGCTGTCCTGGACTTCTTGTCTTTTCTTATCTGCTGTTTCTCCGGGATGTCGGCTGCACTGCTGCTCTCCTGTGGCTGCTGCTGACTCGACTGGCCTGCTGTTGCCGACTCGGCTGGCAAGATGCCGCTCAAGAGACCGACAGCCCTTTGTTGAATCTCGGAACGGTTCGCCCACATCCGGATGGAGAGAAGCTTCAGGTAGTCGCCGGCAAGCCAGGTGGCCGTGCTTCTGAGCAGCCACATGCCGTTGGGCGGTGAGATGAACAGAAGGGAGCATGGGTATCCCAGGTTGAGAGAGTGGATGGTGGGGCCTTGAGCAACGGTCATCACGATGTCGCAGCAGACGGTGACCAGGAGGGCCGGCCGCAGCAGTCCGCACCATAGCAGAGGGAAGCCGACAGCGAGGTCAATGACACGGACGATGGCATGCCCCAACATGAGTGTTAAAACTCCAACCCACTTCGGCAGAGACCTGCCGTCGCCAAGCTTCCTCTGCTCCCTTGTCCGACGCACAGCATAGTTGTAGAACTCTGCCCACATCGTCCACAGCCCATAAGCAGAGCTCGCCACCGTCAGCGCACCGAGCGCCGTCACCAACAGCTTCACCAGATAGCAGCAGCCACCCACCATGCCGGCAAGACGGTGACAAAGGTATTGCGGCATCAGTCGCAGCAGCGCCGCCTTGCGCACGGAAGGCTCACCAACAACGGCACAACAAGAAAAGGCCCAACAGCACAAACCGTGAGGCTCAGTGAGGAAAACGAGCAGCAGATGCAGGCCAAGCGAAATCCCCAGGCACACTCGGACAAAGTCAATGCCGAACTGAGTGGAGAGGATGCTCACGAGGCTCATCAGAGCAGTGAAGAGCATGACAGCGAAGACCATCCTCGGATCCCGCCACAAACTGTGCCGTCGCTTACCATCCGCGTCGCCTTTTTCCGTCCCTTGCTCATAGCGCAGCCAAAGTCGCCATAGCACCAAGTCCACATCGAAGTGGAAGAAGAGGGAGACAATAACGAGGACAATCAGCCCCGACAAAGCCCAAACAATCAGCCGATAGGTCGACCTGTAGCAGGCGTCGGCGATAAGGGTCGAGCAGAGGAATGCCAGCAGGACAATATACTGCAGCATCCTCAGCACGACAAGACCATAGGCCATCCCCGCCTTCAGCACGTATGTGCGCCCCCAGGGCACCTTGACAGCTTCTGGCACCTTGATAGCCTCCTCTCCCATGTAGGTGCTGCCAACGAGAGAGAAGCCAGCCAAAAGGGCGGCGCCGAGAGCCAGAGTGAGTAGAAGGAGCCACAGAATGCCCAACCACCACATAAGCTGCCCCATCCAGCCCCTCGCGCCTCCCTCAACCTTAGCCGACCCCTGCCCCGCCGTCACCACTGGCACTTTGACCCAAGCTGGGGTCCGATCCCTCGGCCGCGTCTGCCAAAACACATGAACGAACGCATTAGCACGTTCACCGTCAGATCGATGCATGTGTGTGCGTGTGTGTGGATGATTCTCACCTGTGAGATCGCCGGTCGTTGAGGCGCTCGGGAAGGTCACATATTGTGTGCTCGGCCACCGTAGCCACGGCCGTGTGTGGGGCTGGTCAGGGAAGGGAGACTCCCGACGCCGACATGTGGCCGCCGCGAGAAAATGCTTGACGCCTGTGTCGGTGTCATTCAGCCACGAGGCCATTTGGATGGGTGTGAGGGCCAACTGGAGATAGCAAGAGCGGCACACGGCCAGCAGGTGGGCCAGAGTCTCGACGCTGTCCTCATCATCCTCATCACAGCCATCTGCTGCCCCCGACCCGATGCCGTCAGCAGTGAAGACGGTCCCGTTGAACATGACGCTGCCCGAGGTCGGCTGCAGGTAGAGATGGAAGCAGTGGCCAAACGACCCAGCCCTCTCGTCCAACACACACAGGATAACCGCCTCATAGCCGTCGGGCACGGCGGGCCGCCTCTCCAGCTTGTCCTTGGCCGTCGTCTGCTGCCGAGAGAGCCGACATGCCTTCCTCACGTCGACACGCAGAGTGAATGGGTCGTATCTCTCGTCGCGAGAGGCCGTCCCGGTGGCATTCAGGTCGACAGATCTGCCCGACTGGCGGCCGAGGAAGGGAATCAACGATGCGATGCTCCACCAGCCGCCCTCTGCTGTACCGCCATCAGTGGCAATGAGTCGTGAGTCGTCGAATTGCACCTGCTTGCAGGGCTCGAGAGGGCCGAGGTAGTCGTCCCAGCTGCTGATGACGGACCAGCAGACCACCGCAGCGGCAAGCAGAGGGACGCACGAGAAGAAATGCGCCTCCTTCATCTCCCTTGAAGTTCATCGAAACGAGTCCTGCGAGGCAATGGAATGTGAAAGAGATATCGAGATCTTTGTGACGAATGAGGCGTCCTGTCCATACCTGCTCTTCGCCTTCCTCCCTCCCGGCTCGTGCGAGCTTAAGCAGTGTGAGGTGAGGCGAAGAGCCTTTCCCCATTCACCAAACGACTGACCTTTGCATGGGCGGTTCTTCGTTGTTTGGCGGCCTATCCGCACCACTACCATTACAGGTGGGCATCCTCAACACATACACAGGACACCATCTGGCCACCAAACCTGCCGCTGCTATGTCTCGCAATGGTTGGCTCTTCCTGCCTATGTGTGTGTCGCTTTCAAGAGTTATGGAGGTTCTGGCGCACCCGTATCTGGAGCCGCTCCTGCTGCTGCTGGTGGTGCTGCTGCTCCCTATCAACCCCCCACAGTACGCACACACATTGCCCCATACACGGTTGTGTTGACGGTCATCCATGTGTCTGTGTCTGGTGGCTGCACGGACCTGTGGTTGCTTGGTTGTGTGTCGATGTGCTGCAGGAGCAGACAGGAGTGTTCCAGCGGGCCGACACTGACATGCAGGTGTGGTACTGCACAGCACTCGGCACACGAAAACGATCCAGGCAGACCCATGTCATTGGCCGTGTTCTTGTTTGCTGTCTTGGTGTGTGCGCATATTCGAGGAAGTAGTAGTTCAGGCGATGCCTCCCGCAAACCTCCGCCCTACCCGCCCCAGGTGAACATCATCACATACGCTCTCCTCTCCCCCCTCCCCACCTCATCTCCATTCAATGGCGGACAAACCTCATTCACGTCGTTCTGGTGCGATGGATGTCTGCAGGGACAGGCGGGCGGTGGGGCTTCGGGCGGTTCTTCGTTGTTTGGCGGCCTATCCGCACCACTACCACAACAGGTGGGCATCCTCACACACATACACAGGACACCATCTGGCCACCAAACCTGCCGCTGCTATGTCTCGCAATGGTTGGCTCTTCCTGCCTATGTGGGTGTCGCTTTCAAGAGTTATGGAGGTTCTGGCGCACCCGCATCTGGAGCCGCTCCTGCTGCTGCTGGTGGTGCTGCTGCTCCCTATCTACCCCCCCAAGTACGCGCACACATTGACCCATACACGGCTGTGTGTGACGGTCATCCATGTGTCTGTGTCTGGTGGCTGCACGGACCTGTGGTTGCTTGGTTGTGTGTCGATGTGCTGCAGGAGCAGACGGGAGTGTTCCAGGGGGCCGACACTGACATGCAGGTGTGGTACTGCACAGCACTCGGCACACGAAAACGATCCAGGCAGACCCATGTCATTGGCCGTGTTCTTGTTGGCTGTCTTGGTGTGAGCAATTGGCCATACCCACGTAGGCGATTAGTTTAGAACCCCTTTTTTCCTTCCTGACGGTGTAGGCGCACACACAGGCGGATGCCATCCTAGACACTTTGCGTCAGCAGGTAAGGGAAGGGAAAGCTGTCTCGTGCATGATGTGTTTGCTGTCCGGCGTCCCAGTTGTTGCAGAGGGGAGATACCCTACCGTTGGCGGCTTGTGAGATCAACCTCGCAGCAGGCTCTCGTCTCCCCGCCGCTGCACAACAGGATACGGGGGAAGACATTTTGCGTCAGGTGGTGACGAAAACTACCCACTGTTTTACCCTCATATGTTTGCCTACCGTGTGTTACCACTAGGGCTTGTCTGAGGTGCCCAGCGGAAGCAGGCACAGTGGTGAAGTAGATTGCGTTGAAGAGGTGGCGTCAGCACCTGCGCCAGACAGATCTCCTCAGGTACGTACAGAAGAAGGTTTGCTGCCATGCAAATGCGTATGCTTGCGCAACCTATTCACCAGGGGCCGCCCGATGTTGCCATGGCGCCGGCTTCAGCGTCCTACGGTACCCCCATGGAAGCTGACGAGGGCGGCGGTACCGTCGTGAAGGAGGTGATGAAAAGAAGCTCACTAAGTTTATCACGGTGGTATCACTAGGTGCTCTCTTCATGCACGCGCTGAAAACAGGCTACGACCGATGCACCCGGGGCGAGGGACGACGGAGCAACCACCGGAGGGGTACATCGCAAGCAATCATGCACGCACACTCATGTCTCCTAAATGTGTCGTTTCTTAAGGCTGTGGCGTCGCATCAGGCTGACTGTCGCACGCACAAGGACGCAGAGAAGGCCATGCAGATCGTCCGCATTGGCGACAAGACATGCGGCGTGCTCTTGGCCATCCATCCGTGCGGGCGGGTTGCTGATTTCGCCCTCCTCACTCGTCCAGAAAGCCCCACCCAGGTGTCCATGATGGTCGCCCGTTTTCGCAAGAGGCTGCTGGACCGCGGCATTGCGGATCGGATGACCATCATCTATGACGACGCCTGCCACCTGGACGAGTGGGTGCAGCGACGGGCACGCGATGGCGAGGCCACGGAGACGGTGATGGCCTTGGCCAAGGACCTCTTCGTCATCGACCGTATGCACCTCGTCGGGCACCGCCGGGAGAAGTGCAAGACCTACCACAACATGGACAACTACCCGCACCTGGAGGGTGTCAACTCAGAGGTGCACACACAAGGCAGACTTTGCATGCAGCCCATTACAGTGTATCGCGGTCTTCAGGTGTGCGAGCAGTTTCACCCATGGTTCAATGGCTATGCGCCGCAGATGAGGTACAGCTCGGTGTCCTACTTCAGGTTTTTCATGTATCATGCCCTGCGCCATCGGAACTGGATGAAAGACATGGGCTACTGGTGAACCAGAGCCGCATGTTTGTCTCGCGTGATTGAGATTGGTGGGCAAGAATGTCTCCCCTCAGACTTATCAATGGATATGTGGGCGGCCGAGTGCATGAGTAGGTGGGTGGTTGATTGAGTTGGGTGCAGACGGTCTGCCTGCACGCTTGCATTCAAGTGGTGAGTGAGACATTCTTCCTGCTTTGCCATTCAATTCGGCCCAGGTGTCGCTGATTGCACATGCACACTACAACAACCTATTCGAGGTGGGATAGAATGCGCAAGGGATGGGGTGGTGCCGGCAGGGATAATTGACAAAGCACCACACGTGCCTCAAGACAGTGTCGTATACTGGCATGTAACACACACACACACACATACACACACATGGCGCATCGCCGCATACACTGACATGGCTCAATCCGGCGCATATACAAGTCTATCCCCGTCATATTGATAGAAACACAACACACTAGAGTCCACACACGTGCATGTGTGTGTGTGGAGATGGACAAAAATGGGAGAAGGAGGGGGTCAATACCGCTCGGCGGCTGTGCGTGTCGGGCCAGACATCTGATGGCCACAAATCTCCCGCGCACGCACTCGTGGCATGAGCTGCACATGGGTAACACAACCCCACACGCAGAACCGTCTGACTGAACCCAGACGGCCCGCGAGAACAAGCAAATCGGCACTCTGTAAGAAAGCTCACCTCATGTTTCAATCCTCTCACTTCCAAGTAAGCCTCACCAAAGCCAACCGTCCACACACACTGGGCGGCCATAAGCTGCTCAGCCACACACAATTACGGCAAAAGCAACACACAATGCGAAGGTCAATGCCCACTATTTTCGCGTGTATTGTTACCCTGGCGCGATGAGGATGATGGTATTGTTGTCAGTAGTGCGGCACTAGCTCCCAGGCACTCCCCTTGGCGCAGCACGGCCATCTCTGACACAGACAGACACAAAGGCCAATCAACTCTGTCGGTCTGTGGGTGGGCGGCAAGGGTCACCCACTGCCAGAAAAGTGAAAATTGTGGCTGCGTCGGTGGTGTGTGTGTGCAGGTGCTGCTCACCTCTGCTTTTGGCACTCGTGTGGCCCATGAGCTGATGCACTTGACCCATGTAATGGATGTACCGCACGACACCCACAGAGCCAAACAGACCGTCCATGTCGGTGTCAATCGGACGCAGCAACACCTGATAGAAAGGAAAACAAAAGACATGGTGTGGTGGCGGGGAGGAGGTCCCAGTGTGGCTCTCTTTGTGGTTGGTTGGTTGGCCTTTTCGAGGATGAACTTGCCTTTATTGTACATTTGCGATTCCTCAAAAGCCTCCTCGTACCGCCAACCTGACATGGCACCCATAACATCAACACACACAGGGTGTGCCAAAAAAGATCCAAAGCTGTGGCGCCTTGGTGTCTGCTCACCTGCCGCTGTAGCCTCTCAGCGTGCCACTCGTGCCACCCGTGCTGGCACATGCCGGCTGTGCCGTCCCAGCAATGCCCTCATGCCCCAGCATGCCCACCTGGGCGGCAGAGAGAGAGAAGGGAGGCACCAACACACCTGCACAACAGCACACACGGCACATAGGGAAATGAGTGGACGGACGGATGGATGGATGGATGGAGAGGGCGTGACACCAGCCCACCTGGGGGGCAGAGAGAGAGGAGGGAGGCACCAACACACCTGCACAACAGGACACACGGCACATGGGGGAATGAGTTGATGAACGAATGAATGGATGGTTGGATGGATGGATGGAGAGGGCGGGGAGAGAGGGCCTAATGATGTGTAGATTGCCACACAATTGATGTGCAGATTGACACAGCGCCCTGGCACACACACGGCACACACAATGCACAGGGCCGTTTCGTTATACGTGTCTGAGCCTGTCTGCACAGCCACCCACCCACCCACCCACCCACATTAACTGAGCGCGGCGGCAACGCACTGTGGTGATGGAAACCACAGCCATATGTGCCTACCCGTACACATGCATTTGTCTGTGTTGGGGTAGGCGGCGGTAAGGGTGCGTGCCTGGGAGAAGTCATGGGTCGCTTGATCTACACACGCACACACACGTGAGTGGATGTGTGCAATTCTGCATGGTTGCCGTCCCGCAGTTTCTTGCGCAGTCCGTTCGACGTGGTGGGGCCGTATATCACCTTTCCTGCAAGCATCCGTGTGCACATCCGGGCCATTTCTCTCTCTTTGGATGCGTACCCTTGCTTTGGCTCACCTCCTGGCCGTGGGCGTCACGCACCACGATGGATGGCTTTGTGCGTAGTCTGATGACCCAACCAACACACACACACAGTTTTATTCTCCTTCCGCTCTCTCCCTCTCGACCTCTTCCGAACCTCATGAGGACGACCGTCGACCTGTCGAGGATCAAGGGCTGGCGGGGACGTCTCTCTCTCTCTCTCTCTCTCTCTCGCGCGCACGCGCGCGGTGCTTGTGTGCCAGGTTATCGACGCTGGCCCTTAAGGCCTTCTTTTCGCGCTTCGCGCGGCACCACCTCTCTCTTTCTGTTACGACCGAGGTCGCCTCGATACACCCACCCAGTCCTCCACCTGTATGCAGGCAGGGAGTCAGCCAGACAGACATACAGACAGACAGACAGACAAACATACGATGGATGAATGAATGAATGTGTGTAAGTGTGTGTGTGTTGCTTTTGGTATCGCCTGAAAGGAGGTGAAATCAACACGTATGAAGGTCGTTCAGGGGTCGAATCGTGCCTTCTCTGCTAGTCATGAATCGCTCTGCTACGAGGGACCTTGGCCATGCGTGGCTGCAGAGATAGATCACCTGCAAGACCACTCACAGACAGACAGACTGACAGACTGACAGGCAGGCAGGCAGGTAGGCAGGAATGCATGGGTGCGTGCCTGATACCTGCTGCCTGTTGCTTCATGCGCACGGTGGACATCAACAGGTGGGCTGCGTGGGAGAGATCGACACACAGGGAGGGTTTGATTGATTGCTGTGTTTCCCGTGCTTTCCTTCCCGACCATTTCCGTGGATTTCCTGTCATTCCCGGAGCAATGTGACCTTATGGAGTCGAAGCCCATTTTCTTTCCTTCTCCAAAATTCCGAGC